ATTATAAAGCAATAAAGAAAAGCACCAAAAATTGTAGTAGCTATGCGCTTAAGAGTTTTTCGTAGTACCACGGTTGCGATATTGGCTTTTTAGTGTGAAGCAAATGCTTAATACATCAATTTCAAAAATAATCCAAGCACTCAACAATAGATGTAGCCACCATTCAACAATAAAGTTTAAATTTGAAATCAAATATCAGCACAGAATGTTTTGAAATGACTTACGGTCTCGATTTGTATTGTTATCGCTTGTTATCGTTTTTGAACAGGAACTGCACACTGCGCTAACATGTTTACGATTTGTATACCCTGAACCCATTAAAAATGCGTAAAAGGGGTATTATGTATTTGTGCAATCGTATGTAACAGGCAGAAGGAAGCATCTCCTCCAAGTACCTGCGCAGATCGATTTTGTCCGATGATCGATAACTTACTCCGTTTCCAATCAATCGATCAAAATCTATATCGAAATCCAGTTTTTTCAGCAAATTAGGTAAATAATAAGAGATAGTCACCAAAATTGATATGCTGCTTCTCGAATAGTATATATATATCAAGTGTCTTTAATTTTATACCTATCGCCACCTCCCGTTATCGCTCCGCTGATGTTTTTTACTTATTGCTCACTCTGCTTCATGTTGCTATGAGCGTTACTCGTTAAGCAACATGTGCCTTAAGGTCAAGCAACATTTTATTATTTTTGGCTTTTAGGGTCACACTGGCGGCCAGGGCTGCCAAAACAGTGTTATTGCAACTCATTTAATAAAGAACAAAACACTTGCAACACAAAATGTTATAAAAATAAATTAAATTAAAATAAATTCGTTTATAGTAAAGAAGACGTTCTCGGACAACTTTAACTTTAAACGCATTTGCATGGACGCGCCGCCGCCAACAAAGCCACCCAGAGGCGTTAAATATGGAAAAGATGAGGTACATTTGTTCAAGACAAAACTAAAAATACCTTATAAACCCTAAATTGTTCATTTATTGTAATAAAATAAAGTTTACAATAACCTAAAGTCGTTCAAAATACGCAGTGTAACTTTCTTTGGCGAAACAGCCGCTTGTAACGAGCTGATGACGACACCAATGCTGATGCGGTCTCATGTTGTAGTTGTTGTTTTTGTTGTTGCACGCCCTCTTTGATATTTAATAATAAAAAGTCACAAATATTAATTATACTGGGCGTGTGCTCCTGTGCTTTGTTATTGTTTTTGTTTTTGCAGTCCGCCAGCTGTGGCTTTCTCGTCAACGTCATCAAGTCTCTGGGCTTCAGCGAGACCACCGAGGAGCGGCAAAAGGAGAAGCAGAAAATCGAACAGGAATTCAAACGTTCGGATCTGCGTCTAAACGAGCTTGTCTCACGACATGACCAGCAGCTGACCCAAGTACTGCCACTATTTAGCCAGGTGTCCACAGAGGTGACGGCCAGTCGGGAGCGTATACACGCGGTCAAAGAGAATCTGGGCGCCTGCAAGCGCCTCCTGCAGTGCCGTCGCGATGAACTCAAGAAGATGTGGACGGACGCTGTACAGCACAAGTATGTGCTGGAAATGCTGGAGCAAATGTAAGTCAAATATGCTCGAAACGAAATCTAAAACAAATTCACAACGCTTCGCTTTGCAGCCAAGAGCTCCGGAAAGTGCCCCAACGTGTGGTCAGCTACACGGCGAAACGTCAGTACTTGCATGCCAGCAAGGCACTGACGGATGCTCTGGCCACGCTGAACGGTCCATTGGCAGGCGTCGAGGGCTTGGCCGACTTGCGCACCGATTTGCAAACGCGCCGGCAGCAGCTATATCATCGCTTACACGAGGAGCTTGTCACGCAGGTGTACAAGAACTCTGCCAATGAAGCCTTTCAGCGCAGCAATTCAAGTCGCCTCAATTCTAGTTTCACGCGTGGCATTGGCGCACGACGCTCCACGGATCGCATCGAGGCAAATGCTCGCGTGCGTAAGGCATTGAGTGAAATGGCGCAGGGCTTTGAGCTGGACAAGGCGGAGATAATTGAGGACGCTGATCTTATCGATCCCGAGCTAAGCATGAATTACTTTATTGCCATCATTGTGGAATGTTTTGGCATGCTGCAGAAGGTGCCGGATTCATTAGAAACGCTTCGCGTCCAAATTCAAACGGAGCTGCTCAATGTTGTGCGACAGACCACGCATCAGCTGGCGTCGGGTGGTACGCTGCAAGCTGGTGCAGGTGCCAGCAATCCGCTGCTAACCCTCCTGGAGATCATATTCAAGCAATTCAAAGCTATTGCCAAAACACATACGCTGCTGCTAAAGAACTATTTGGCTGTGGGTCAAAAGTATGCCGTTGTGGGCCCACAATCCTACGATCTGACCGACTTTTGGGCTCAGGCGCAGTCAGTAGTAAGTGTAACTATATAAATAAGTAACTGCTGTATTCTTAAATGTTTTTCTATTTTATCACAGTTGCAACTGCTGCTTACGGATTATTTGGATATACAAAATGCATCGGCGGACGAGAGCTCGCAAACGGGCTTTGTTGAACCTATAAACAATATTAATTCTTACTTTCTAAGGCGCAAAGTTCCAAGGTTAGTTATCTGCTTTTCCAAAATAGCTTATTGTACTTAAACCTTTTTCAATTCTCAACGGCTAGCACGAAAAAGGCCATGTTTAAGTTTGACAAGTCCTCGCACGGTAATGTGAACAGTAGCAGCAACAGCACACATGAGCCTTTTAAGGAGCATCGACGCAATGCTTCAGATGCCTCTGTTGATGACAATTTGGGTGCCAATCTGCTTGGCAGCGGCAAGGGCTCTTTGACTGGCCTTTTGCCTCACGAGAAGAAACAGCGAGAGAAATTGTTAATATGCACGCCCGATCAGAATGTGATCACCAAGGTGTATCTCCCAATAATGGGCTACATACAGGAAATTGAGAACTTTATGAAGTGCAAGCCAGGGTTAGCTTACAATTCTAATATCATCACTATTATTATCTCACATATATCTCTATCTATCTACACTTATTAGTCAACCTTGCAGCTTGCACGACTTTGTGGATAATTATATAAAGGATACATTCCTATCCAAGGGTCACAATCGCAATTTGCAGTTAACCATTGAGTCGCTGTCAAAGAATCAGGATGCCTGGCGTGCCATTATAACGCCCGAGGAAATGAAAAGCTTAAATTTGTCTCGGCCATTGCTGCAGTCCACTGTCATGGTAGAGCGTCGGCTGGTGGAGACCAAAAATTTAATTGAAGATTTGCCTTGCTACTCGGAAGAGCTGCTCAAGATGGTTTGTGCGCTTCTCAAGGCCTATCGCGAGATATGCCAGGCGGCCTACAGGGGTATTGTACAGCCGGATTCGGAAGATAAACGCATATACAGCGTGGCCTGGTTAAAGGACGAGGATATAAGTCGATTTTTAAAGTAGCCATCTTTCAATTAAGTACGCTTTGACCATTAACTAACTTGAAATTTGTTCCTGTTGCAGAACGCTGCCCAATTGGACGGATCTTAAGACCTCAAGCCAGCGTGCACGCCATACGCGCAAGCTGCAGCGTGGAAACTTTGAGCCGTCCGAGGAGGAGAGTCCGCTGCAGGTGCAGCAACGTAATATACGTGAAGCCGAAATGTTAACCAGCAATTTGGGTGAGGGTGGCATAACACAGCAGGAGATACTAGCTGACATAAGCGTGCTCAAGGAGTTGGCTATACTGCAGGAGAGCATGGAATGGTTCTCGTGTCGCGTCTCAGAGTTTGCCAACGAGCTAAGGCGTCCATTGGTCAACGGTTTGAATTCAGCAGCGGCAGACTGTGCGGCAAACGTGGCGATCAAGGATGGCACCATCAAAGTTATGACTAATCTGGCATTGGAATTCGATGAGTTGGCCAACACGTGCCTGCTAGTGCTGCATCTAGAGGTGCGAGTACAATGCTTCCATTACTTGCGATCCAAGTCGAGCGTCAAAACCAACAGCTATGTAGGCTCAAAGGATGATATATTGGAGCCAGATCGCCAGGTACTGGTGCTAACGAAACGGCTATCGGAAATGGATGAAGCATTCAGTGCCACCCTGCATCCGCGCAAGACAAGGGTTAATATTACCTCTCTGCAGAACGCTCCAAACTGATATCTAACTTTTCTAAGTTTTATTTTTAGTATATATTCGAGGGTTTGGCACATCTGGCAGCACGCATACTTATTCAGGCCTCCAATTACTTGGAGAATATTGATCAGATCACCGTGCAACGGATGTGTCGCAATTCTATTGCCCTGCAGCAAACGCTCAGCAACATTACGGCGTCTAGGGAGATTGCACTAGATCAGGCAAAACATTTTTATGAGCTGCTCTGCATGGAACCAGATGTAAGTGATTGAAGGAATCTGAAAGTCAAACTTTTAACGTCCACTCTTGCAGGAAATACTAAATGCCTTGCTAGAACGCGGCACGCAATTCTCAGAGATGCAATTGCTAAATGCATTGCAGTTGTCTTGCAAGGCCTGCGGAATAACCGATGTCAATTTATTGGCTTCCTATCAGCAAAAACTTTCCGATATACTGGGCGCCAAGCCCTCCAAGGGTGTTGTTGTATAAAAGATACAAGCAAGGGGAATAGCAAGATATATTTTTAAATAATGCCCCTTGTATGCCCACTCAAACAGACATCAATAATAGTTTTTAATGTGTAAGTGCAAAGAGTTTGCTAGTGTTAAGCCCAAATTGATTATAAATGTTTTGAACATGTTGGTATGCACTTGGTGTTGCGATATAGTCCTTTATATACGTGTATTCTAAAGTTCGTGAACATTATTGTAATATGGCTTATACACAATAAAATGAAAATGTAACAACGAAAAAGAAATAAATTTTAATAAAACGCAAGCCGGTCAAGTGAGGAGCAGTTGCCTCGTGTTTCTGTTAAGTGTGGAGTGGTTCTGTTAATTCAGCATAAACTTATGTGGGGCCGATGTCTTTACTTTTCGGCTAGCTGTCGTTTACCAACACTAATGAATAATTGCCGCTTGAAAAAAAACACTAATAAATAAACATAAAATAATGCCTGAACAAGTTGAATCGACTTCAAAACTGAATGTAAGCAGTGAGATTAAGTCTCCATCTTATGATTTAACCAAGTTCCGTCTCAAACGCATACTCAACAACAATAGTAAATGCAAGAGTATAACATTACTCGGCACTTTCCCGGATTTATCGGAAACTGACGCCGCTATTGTTGTTTTCGAGAAAAATGGTAAGTAAGTCGGGTGTGTCATATTGAAAATTAATTTTTTTTTATTCATATAGCCTATCGGGAGAGCGACGTGGCAACTGGAGTGTCGGCTAATAAAGAGTCGGAGTCGGAGTCTAAGCCGAGTTACTTTAGCACTGACCTACAAGTTCGAACCGATTTTATAAACAATATATACGCGAGTTTTCAGTGTGTGCCCACCCAACAGCTGTGTGGTACGTACATTAATAGTGACCTTGCAATTGTATGAGCAGATGTATTATTATTATTATTATTTTTCCTTCGCTAACAGCCGTGAAGGGCACAGTGATTTATCCGGCCACCGACAAACACATTGAGAAATATTCTATATGCCAGAAGTACATAATAAATGAAACGACAGATCTCTATAAATCCGTCACGCTGCCTTATATTAGCTCAAGCCAATTCTCGCTCGACTGGGTGTACAATATACTTGAGCATAAGCAGGAAACAGAACGAATTGTTTTCGAAGATACACATCCTGAAAATGGCTTTATACTACTCCCGGATCTCAAGTGGGACGGACGCAACGTGGATAACCTTTATTTGCTGGGTATAGTGCGCAAGCGGGATATTAAATCATTGCGTGATCTCAATGCGAGCCACTTGCCGTTGCTTCGAAATTTGCGGCAGTCCGCCAAGCAGGCTATACATCAGCGCTACGGCTTAAATCCCACCCAGCTGCGCATGTACTTTCATTATCAGCCGTCGTTCTATCATCTGCATGTACACATTAATCCGATCAGAAATGATGCGCCTGGCATTTGGTGCGAAAAATCGCATATGCTCGACACGGTCATTAACAATTTGGAGCTAGTGCCGGATTACTATCAGCGCGCCAGTCTGCCATTTGTTTTATATGAGGGCAACAAGTTGTTGGATTTATACGACGAACAGTTGGAGGTACGGACAATATCAACTCAGCCGGCAAACGAAGCAGACGATGTTGGACCAGAGGAAGCACCCGAGGCATTCACCGACGAGGAACCTGAAGAGGCGCGTCAGTGCAAGCGCATTAAGCTAAGCACCCCAGAGAAGGATTCCAATGAAGCCGAGCTTGTTGCAACGCCGTGTGCTTAAGTATGGCACCAAGTTTGATCTATATTATCAATGTGATTTGATATAATAGCCAGAATAAAAGTGGAAATGCATTAAATTTGTCCTTTTTTTTTGTCAGTTTTTGCTTTATTTATTTATTTATTTAATAATAGTGTCGCTATGTTTGTTGTGTATTTCTGTTGTAGTTTGTGGCTGCTTTATGCTACGATCTGTCAGTATTTTGCTTTTGTGGCCTTTTTTGCATATTCTAATATTTGTAATACGTTGAAATACATTCACTGCCTTTGGGGATTTTTTGTTCTTATGTCTTTCGCGTTAGTTGTTATAAAATGATTTATCAATAAAAATAATTGTGGGCGCCTAAATGTTATTTTTGAAATAGGTCGAGTGTTTTTTATTACATTTTTTTTGTTTGTTGATTTATGTAGCAGCCGCCTTTGAAATGTTTTTAGAGTTTTATAATTTTCTCGGTTGTTTAGATTAGATTATTTTCTAACGTTATATTCGAGAATGCCGAATTCGATTCGGTATTTTCGAAAGTCGTGCTTAGCGAATGCTTCGATTTTATAAGCTCGTCTCTGGCTTACGAGCTACAGCAGCTGCGTGTGTATGTGTATATGTATGTATGTGTGTGTTCGAGTGAGTGTGGGATACACGTCTGAAATCTCTTGCATGGAAGCCTTGTACAACATCTTTTAAATATACATATACATAAATATTATTTCAAGTACATACACACATATACGTATATATACATATATATGTATGCATATGCAATACATATATAGGTATATAAAAATAACAAAAATAATAGTAGCAATAAAATCGTAGTATGTAATTTTTTCATTCCATTAATAAAAACAATGCGCACCCCGCCGGCTTTGCCCGAATACTTTCATCGTCTTCAATTGCTGTGACTGTTGCTACTGTTGTGGACCGTCGCTCCCTCCGCGTCCGCCTGCTCCTCTGGCACATACATGACAGCAGTGCTGGGCGAAGTGTTGACCGACATGCTAGTCGTCATCGTTTTGTCCGCATCGGAGATAGACCAGTTACGCTCCAATTGCTCCAGCGCGGCCATCGTTGCCGTTGTGGTCACGCCAGCACCGGAACTTTCAGCGCCAGCGCCATCACTGAGGACGCCGGCTCGCAGTGTCTCCTCAAGCAGGGCCTGAATCTTGTCCTGATCATCCAGATGCACAAAGCCCAATCGCACCAACTCACTAGTCAAGTCCGCCGCTGTATCGTCCTCGTTCACCTGACACGTTAGCTGTCGATTCATTTTGTCATCCATTCGCAACAGTATGGTCATCAGTATATCGTTGCTGTCCTCCTTCAGTTTTTTCACGCTGCACATCATATTCACAATGCGACGCGACTCAGTGTCTACCGGCTCCGGCGTTGCCGATTTGACCGAGTCGGCACGTTCGGGCGAGGCAGCGCGCGAACGAAAATGTGGCGGCTTCTTGCCACTGTACGTGATCAGCGGATAGACACCATATTTTACATCCTCCACGAATTTTTCCAGCTTATCGGCGCCGGGCACATCCGATAGTCGAAATTGACGCTCATTACCGCCAGACAATTTGAGCTGCGCCATTATCACATCCGGGTGATTATAGCGCTGCATTAGCCCATCGAAGGCTGTCTCCGAGAACATAGTTCGATTGGCGGGCGAGAAGACCAGACAGTGGGCGGCCAGTAGTTTTAGTGCATGCACCTGTGAGGATTATCAAAATTTTATCATTATATAGTTAACATTTTATACAAGCTATTGATAAAAATAAGGGTATAAAAAACAAATGAAAGTGCCTGACTGTGGGACACTCTTTACCTATCTCATAAATCACAATGGGCCACAAGGTAAAAAATTGATTTGATGCTCAAATTTCTTGTATAAATTCATCAAATCGATAAAAATGCAGTTTGTTGGCCGTTTAAAAGGGCTTTAAGAGCTTTCATTCTAACCCCTTTTACATACATGTGAACAAATTATATATATCCTATTCGCCCATTCTCTTTTCTGTTACAGGGTATATGAAATAGGAATATCAATTGATTCGCGTCTTCAAAGCATAATAACTCTTTTGATGCATATATCTGTTTTCGAATCCACTTTTGATTTATTTTAAAAACGTAATATATTTCAATAAAATTCAGCAGAGCTAAGGAACAGCTGTAGCTAAATGGGAATCGATAAACAGATTTTAAACATATACCGTTTAGGTGACTAATCACAGGATACTTACATATGATTACTAGAAATTTGTTTCATATATTTAGCTGTTCTTTTTATATTTTTATTATTTGTCTTCGGGTTAACTCACCTCAAAGAGCAGTGGATGAAAAAGCAAGTCGCTAGCACTTGGTCGATCTTGGGGTTGTGGATTAAGACATTTCAGTATCAGATCACGTTGCAGATCATTGTCTAGGCTATTAATTGTGCGCAGTATGGTCTCCTCGTTGATGGCAGTCGATTCGCTGTTGCTAGACTGCGGCTGTATCTCAAGCGCGGCCATTTCCAGGGCACACATGCCAAAAGCGTAGATGTCGACAGCGGCGGTAAGTTGCTCGGCGGCACCATATTCAGGTGCATGGAAATAGTGCGCACCACGCTCCCGTTCACGTTCCGGCAACTGCTCTAGTTGATCAAGATGCTGACGGCGTACGCTATAATGTACCGCATCCGGAACCACAGAGCCTATTTTGACCAGACCATTGTGCTGTATGAAAATGCTATCACAGGTTAGATTGCCATGAATGATGGGCGGCGAGCAGGAATGCAAATAACTGAGCGCGGACAGGATCTGAGTGCACCAGCGGCGCCACGATTCAAGCGGCAACCGCTTGGCATTGCGCTTGGTGCGCTTGAGGAACTGTTTTAATGAACCGGACGACATGTACTCTGTGATGAATATGACGCGCGGTCGCTCCGCGTGCAACGTGTCCGTCCAGTAGCGATGAAATTTGACAATATTCTGATGGTCCAGCTGTAGCAGGTTGTCAAACACCTGACGCATCTTGTCCTCCTGAGTTTTGAGCTCCTGCAGCTGCGCATATTGCACCTCGTTCCAGACGACCTCAACACCCTCCTCGGTGTCCATGGCCAGATGCACACAATCAATGCCAGGCACATCTCGCTGATCAACCTCCTCGCGTCGCTTTAGCCACCGACCACATGGCGACTCCTCCAATATTTCACTCTCATCCTCCGAATCATCGCCAGACTCGCGCGGCGATGAGTCTACAGCCAAATTGCTGACGACTCCATCGCCAGCAGTTATGGATGCTGCTGCTGTTGTTGTTGTAGTTGTGCTGGAGGCGCCTACTAGGTGCGATGCGGCACTAGTTGCAGCTGTAGACGCCGGTTGTACCGAGGAGCTTTGAGCTGTTGTGGATGCGGTCGTCAGATTGCTGGCGGTGGCAATTGTGGTGCCCGGTGCCAGGGTAATTGCATTTGGATTCGGATTGGGATTCGTTTCATCCACGACGCTACCGCTGCTGCCGGCATTTGCTTGGCTATTTGACATTAGGGCGCGGTCGTCGTTAATTGCTCACAAAAGCAGTTGAACCGCTGTTGCTGCTTCTACTAATGCTTCTTGCTGTTGTTGTTGTGTTTGCTCAATTGTTTATTTCAACGTTTCTTCACTATTTGCTTGAAATGGTGGCTCCGTGTTTGCTCTGCTCCAACTAAACCAGCCGCTGTCGTCGTCGCCGACGCCGCCGCCGTTGCTCCACAGCCGCAACTTCTGCCCACACACTCACACACACACATACACACAAGCACGTACTCTCCGCTACCACCCTTCCTCGTTCACTGCCTATGACTCTTCAACCGTTGTTCAATAACACACCGTGTATTGCTAAACCTGCTGTTGTTGCTGCTTGCGTCCACGACCTTTAATGCCTTCTAGTGCAGTAGCTGAGTGAGTTAACTAACAGCGCTTATTGGTCCTGATGTGCGGCCGTTTTGGCTTGTTTAGGCGTTTTTTTCACGCTTTTAAAACACCCAAAAAATGTGAGTAAATCGATGCATCGATGCTATCGATAATTACCAGCCGATGTATCGTTATCCGATGTTTTGTGTGCATTTTTGAGCACGAGTATCATACACTCAGAAGGTAGCACTGTCTGAATATGTGTGTGACGTCACACATACAACGAATCATCATATGAGTTGAAAGTAAATGTAAGTTGGGGGTAATAATATCATTTTGTCATTAAAATGCTGACACTAAAAATTTAATTATCTTCGATGACGTGTGGAAAAATATCTACTGATAGTTGACTGATTGAAACAATTATCGCTCACTCCGTCACCCACCACTAGAGATATCGAAAACTGGGCTCACTGTCAGCTTGCACTCGCGGCTTTTATAGATTCTATTTTAGTATAAATTTTACTTAATATAATTTACGCAAACATGGACAGCATAATTGGGCGCAACCAGTTCGTCTCAGAAACAGCGAATCTCTTTACAGATGAGAAGACAGCCACAGCCCGTGCAAAGGTTAGTAATCATTTGTGTGCCCAATCTGATGCGGCTGCTATTTGAAACTGCCCGTTTTGCCCTTAGGTAGTGGAATGGTGCAATGAGTTTGGCACAGCGAATGCTACGTTGAAATGTGAGTTGCTAGTTAAAGTACAGGAAATTGTCCTCAGCTCATGTGTTGAGCTTGCCGAGGAATTCTTAGAGCCGGTGCTGTCGCTGGCGCACGATCAGAATCAGGAGGTACGCAAGCAAGTCGTCTCATTTATAGAGCAAATATGGTAACTATTAACGAAGATCTATTGATCTGGAAATCTGGTATAAGACTGTTAACACATGCAATTTTTATCATTTCACTTACAGCAAGGTCAAAGTCGAGTTGCTGCCCTATGTAATTAATGTGATATCAATGATGTTGCGGGATTCCTCGGCACAGGTCATCAAACGAGTTATACAGGCTTGTGGCAGTATCTACAAAAACGGGCTGCAATATTTGTGCAGCCTGACTGATGCCAGCGATAGTGCCGAGCAAGCATGGAGCGTTCTGAGTTTGATAAAAGCACAAATTCTAGACATGATTGACAATGAGAACGATGGAATACGCACAAATGCCATTAAGTTTCTGGAAGGCATCATAATACTGCAAAGTTATGCGGATGAGGATAGCATGAAACGCGAGGGCGACTTTTCGCTTTCTGATGTGCCGGAGCAGTGCAAACTTATCAGGCGCCAGAAGCTGCAGGATGAGGGCACCAACATATTTGACATCATGCTGCAGTTCCATGGCACTACACACATCTCATCAGTGAATCTGATAGCCTGCACAAGTAGCCTTTGTACAGTGGCTAAAATGCGTCCCATTTTCATGGGCTCCGTCGTGGAGGCCTTTCGTCAGCTCAACAATAACTTGCCGCCCACACTGACCGACTCGCAGGTGAGCTCAGTGCGCAAGAGCTTGCGCTTGCAGCTGCAAATGCTGCTCAAACTGCGCGGCTCCTTTGAGTTTGCTGGCACTATACGCAATATACTAATGGATCTTGGTGCCAGCGCCAATGAAATACAAAAACTGCTTCCCAAAATGGACAAGCAAGAGATGGCCCGCCGACAGAAGCGCATTCTGGAGAATGCGGCACAGAGTTTAGCTAAAAAGGCGCGTCTAGTGGAGCAGCAGCGGGAGAAACAGCAGCAGCCGCGAGAGATGGAACTGGATGAGGAGGAGCTGGAACGACAGCGGCAGAAAAGTACGCGTGTCAATGAAAAGTTTCTGGCGGAGCATTTACGTGCCACTGAAACTGTGGTCAATCTTGTTGTTGAGTTTTTGCCCACATTGCCGGAGGCCGCACCAGCTAAATTCTTGGCGGAGTACACACCAATCAAACAGCTGTCCCTGCCGCAACAAGTAAGCAATATTTCCCATCAATTTGGACAGCAACTGACGGAGCTGCGACTTGGACCCGGCTCGGCTGCGTTTAGTAAAGAGCCGCCAATGAGACCAAAGAGTCAGGCGGCTCCTGCCATATCAGATGCAGCAGCAGTCGCTATGGATGTAGACGAGGCGCCTGATAAGCTAAGCGAACAAGAGCTGCAACGCAAGGAAGAAGCCACCAAAAAGTTGCGCGAGACCATGGAGCGCTCTAAGGGCGAACAGACGGTCATTGAGCGCATGAAGGAGCGCGCCAAGACGCTCAAGTTGCAGGAGATAACCAAACCTCTGGCACGCAACATTAAAGAGAAGTTTCTGCTGGATGCCATCATGCGCATCCTTAACTCCGAGCGGCAGTGCATCATGGGCGGCGTGGCAGCCAAGCGCCGCAAGTTGGTTACTGTTATTGCCGCCACATTTCCGGATAATGTGCGTTATGGCATCATGGACTTCATACTGAGCGATATCAAGCAGCGTATAGATCTTGCCTTCTCCTGGCTTTTTGAGGAGTACTCTCTGCTGCAGGGCTTTACGCGCCACACCTATGTAAAGACGGAGAACCGTCCAGATCACGCTTACAACGAATTATTGAATCAGCTTATATCTGGCATCAACGAGCGCTGTGAGTATAAGGACAGAATCATTTTGCTGCGCCGTCTTTATCTAGAAGCGCCTATTCTAACCGAGGAGGCCGTAGTGCAGCTTGTAAAGCTGTGCCTGGTCGAAGAGTTCATGCCGCATGGCTTGGAGATTGTCAAGGATCTGGCGGTGCTCCGACCTCCACGTAAAAATCGGTTTGTGCGTGTGCTCCTCAACTATGCAGTGCACGAACGTGCTGATCTGCGAGAGCGTGCGTTGACGCATTTGATTACCATCTATCATGTGCATAAGATTGTTCCAGCGCGCATTGATGAGTTTGCCATAGAGTGGTTAGAATATGTGGTGGCTGAAACACCACCAAATGCCATATTCTCGGTAGATTACGGCAGGCCCACGCCGGAGACTGCATGGAAGGAAGACACCGCTAAGGTGTGTCTGCTTCTGGCCCTCACACTATTGCCCTACAAGCCGGAAGGTAAGTTACCGGCTGCACAATCTTAAGAAAAACTAATCTTGACTATTTCTAGTTTATCTGGAGAAGATCTGTCAGGTGTTTACCGAGACCTCGGCAGAACTGAAACGTACCATACTACGTAGTTTGGATGCACCCGTAAAGAAACTGGGCGTAGAGTCTCCAGCTTTGCTTAAGCTGCTGGAAGACTGTCCCAAGGGCTTGGAAACTTTGGTTATACGCATCATTTACATATTGACTGAACGCGTACCCACACCACATCCGGATCTGGTGCATCGGGTGCGTGATCTTTACCAAAACAAAGTCAAAGATGTGCGCGTGCTCATACCAATTCTGAGTGGTCTTTCCCGCTCTGAGTTAATAGCCGTGCTGCCGAAATTGATAAAACTCAATCAGGCCGTGGTGAAGGAGGTATTTAATCGCTTGCTTGGCATTGGCGCTGAGTTTGCGCATCAGCAGATGGCGCTATCGCCCACAGACTTGCTTGTTGCTCTGCACACCATTGATACGAATGTGTGCGATCTTAAGGCCATTGTAAAAGCCACTTCGCTATGTCTGGCCGAGCGTGAAGTGTACACGCAGGAAGTGCTTATGGCAGTGCTGCAGCAACTGGTGGAGATAATGCCTGTACCAACGCTGATGATGCGCACTACAATACAGAGTTTAACGCTGTGTCCACGTCTCGCAAACTTTGTGCTGAACCTTCTGCAGCGCCTGATACTGAAGCAGGTGTGGCGTCAAAAGGTAATCTGGGAGGGCTTCCTCAAGACGGTACAACGACTTAAGCCGCAATCGCTGTCCGTGCTGCTGCAGCTACCACCCCCGCAATTGGCAGATGCACTGCAACAGTGCCCAGATCTTAGACCGCAACTACTTGAGTACGCGGAGAGCATACAGGACGAGCCCATGAGCGGCATCACTCAGCAAATACTGGACATCATTACCGGCAAATCGGTGGACGTGTTTGTTACGGTAAATCTAATCGATCAGCATGTGCAAGCATAAATGTAATTATTTCCGGATGTTTTGCAGGATGAAAGCGGCGGATACATTAATCCTGATAACATCAAGAAGGAGCTATTGGATCCCTCAGATATCAGCGTAATTTCCACTGTGCCTGTTTTGACTACACTACCAGTGGCCGCACCAATGCCCGTACCCGCACCACTGCCACTGCCAGTGCCCGCGCCCGTGCTTAGCGACTTAAATCAACCGTTGCCACCTGGCGAGGATTAGCCTTAGTTTAGTTAAGTTTGTTTTGTTTAGCTTATACATTCGGTGTTTTAGTAAACCCTCTAAAATTAAATTTTAAATCAAGGCTGCAGGCTTTTAATCGAACCTGCTTGGACCCCGAATTCCTATTTATTTTTTTAAATATAAACCGAGAATATTTGAACGGAACCATTTTTAAAGATTCGGTTCAAAACAACTTCGGCTTGCGATCAAATACAGCCTGCAATTTCTATATAAAAATATCAATGGCTTGCAATAATTTCGGGCATATTTAGAATAAAATTATGGCAAACCAAGGCTTGATCCAGAAACTTGGCTTAAGGGTCTGAAATGTAGGGTTCACGAACCGATCCAATAAGCAGCTTAAGACGTAAACCAAGCCACCGGCATTTGATGTGACGTTGCAGCTTTGATTTAGCGGAAGAGTTTGCCTTGATTTTAGTTCAAGGTTTTTGGCGATTTCCCATTTCTGTAAGAAAATACGTATTCTTTTCAAACAAGCAATATAACAAGGCTCAGTATTTTCCTTGAAATTTTGAATGTGTAAATTTTGATATTTCGCAGATAAGGTGTCCATTGTGAACTAGATTGCAAAGTAAATTATCCGCCAATATTTAACTATTAGGGATCTTTTACAAATTTCTTAAGTATATTTGAATCATAATAAAAAAAAATTATCAAACTGTTTACGTTTAAACTTTCATAAATCGTACGTATAAATAAATGCCATTTTGGATTTGTGGTTAATAAATTAGAACACTTTCTGTGCGAAATCAACACAAGCGCAAGCTTCGCAATCCATGATTTATGGACTGTCGTCATGTGGGCAAGTATAAGTGAAATACATGAAGCAACACTTTATTAAAAGAACAAACAATATTGATATTTGCAAAAAAGCTCATTTAATAAGTGACTGACTTAATATGTATGCGTATTATAATTATTTATGTGCCCAATTGAAGTAGCTTCCTAATTATTTACATTCATTATTAGCACATTTGTGGAGGTTATAGGTTATATGCTTTCTTATTTTGTATACCATTTTCGAAACCTTTTTTAACATATCTCATTAATAGACATTTGGGGTAGACCATGATCACTTGATGTTAAACCCTACAGAGGCAATTGAAAAACTTGAAGTCAAATGTTTGGCTAACCGTAGTTCTAGTTTAGGCTTTACACAATGCATGACTACTTTCTTTCGGCTATCGTTTTGTTGGTAGTCATTGCGGTTGGTGTAAAGTCTGCTTCTATATTTATTACACCATTCAACATCCCGTTTTATAAGCTCTACAATCCAGCAGAGTCCAAATTGGCGATCAAGCAGCCCACAACGGTAAGTCTCTGAGTTTTGAAGTTTATTTGATTAACGTTCTGAACAACATATTTAATAAGCGGGATCGCATTGCTGATCATGGTTATCCAGTAGAGCACCACCACATCGTTACCGAGGATGGCTACATTTTGGGCGTCTTTCGTATACCCTACTCGCACAAATTGCAGAATGAAAAAGAATACCGCCCAATTGTGCTTATTCAGCATGGTCTAATGGGAGGCTCGGATGCTTGGGTCTCCGTTGGTCCAAACGATGCTCTGCCCTACATGCTTGTCGATTCGGGCTACGATGTATGGCTGGGAAATGGACGTGGCAATACCTACTCAAGAAATCATACTTCGCGCTCCACAGACAAGACCGACTTTTGGTGCTTTAGCTGGCACGATATTGGGTACTATGACATAGCTGCTACGATAGATTTTACTTTGAAGATAAATGGACAGGGACAAAAATCCATCCACTATGTGGGCCACTCCCAGGGCACTACTGTATTTTTCACATTGATGTCCTTGCGTCCCGAATACAATGAGAAGATCAAAACGGCCCACATGTTTGCTCCCGTAGCGATTATGACTCATATGAAAAACCAATTAGTTCGTTTATTATCATTCTTTTTGGGACATACGAATATATTCTCAGTTTTATTATCTAACATGGAGTTTTTACCATACAATCGCAATATTTTAACGATGATCTCTAATATTTGTGGGCACAATCGGCTGTTACGACCAGTTTGTGTCTATATTGTTCAAAAATTTTACAATGGTCGCCGTTGGAATAAGGTAAGCTAAATCAGGCGATATAATGCATAAATCTTATCAAATTCCATTAAGTAGACTGCCCTGTCAGAAGGTATTGGTGTGCTGCCGGCTGGCTGTTCCACAAATCAAATACTACATTATTTGCAGGAACTGCAATCGGGTCATTTTCGACAGTATGATCACGGGCCCAAAAAGAATCAGGAAGTGTATAGATTGAAGCACCCACCAGACTATCCAGTCGAGAAAATATCCTGTAAGGTACACTTGTGGTATTCAGACAACGATGTTATGACTTCGGTGGAGGATGTCTTGGCTTTCGCTAAGCGCCTGCCCAATAAGGAGCTACATCACATAGAGGATCCCAAGTGGGACCACGATGACTTTGCGTTGAATATGAAGCTTCGTACATATCTAAATGAACCAGTAATTGAGATAATAAGTAATTTTGAAAAGTCTTTAAATTGAATGTCATTAAATTTGTTGGGTAGACTCTGTGAATTAAAACTAAGTATATATTTATTTTTAAAAAATTGTTTTTAAAAAATTATTTAAAAAAAAATTGTAGATAATTAAGGACTATCGCTAGCGATATCAATTTCTTTTTTTTTTTTTAACTGTATAGTAAAACTAATAAGAAGCCCGATACAAATAACGAAAAGCGGTTGTTTTCTAAAGATCTAAAGTTGTTAGTAGATATTTAAATTTTTCCACGGGTGGGAAATGGGAAATGTTAATTTTCCACTATGCTAGATTTTAAGCATCGCCCTACTATGCGATTCTCATGTATTCTAGGAAGCTTAACAGGCTTTTATGCTTTGATCATAAGTCTTGTATCAATTAATTTTGATGGCAATCTAATAAACTATATCCTTTTTTATACTTTATGCATTTAAATTATATCCCTCCCTCTCTTCCTTTCTATTTCTCTCTCGTGTTTATTCCTATATCTCTATCCTGGTCTAACTCTAGCTCGTTCGCCTTTCTGCTCTCTTAATATCAAACCTGATTATGTTTTCCCTGTACCGGATTTAGAATTTTTTCTTAGGCAAAATTTGCTGTTATATGAACCACTGCGATGTGTGGTCTATAATCAGCTCTATATTTAGTTAATATAACCATCACGGGAAATCGTTTGCGGGATTAATGATAAGGTAAGCCACGTCAATTAGATAAGCATGTGCAGCATTTTACGATTAATACTTTTTTTTTTTTTTGGAGAGAACAATTTATGATAATTACACTTTATTTGCCAGTAATTTTTGGTGCGGCAAAGTTTCCCAGTTTAATCATTTAATTATTTAATTGTAATATAGACCTGAAAGTCTGGGAGATGTTGAAGCAAATAAATTGCTTTATGTTATATTAACCATTTGATTCTCCTTAAAAGCTCTGTTTGTAAAGTTATACAAGTAGCAATTCTTTGTTAAGAAGTGTATACTTTTATTCTTTTTTTTAACTTTTCCTATCTTATGTCCCCTTACTTATTGACATATTTGATAATCTAAAACCACTTGATGATATACTGCGGAAAGGCTGCTTAAAACTTCAAGTCAAATATTTGACTAGCCGCAGTTGTAGTTCAGACATTAAACAATGCAGAGTCAATTTCTTGTGTTAATTACTTTACTAGCCACCTCAGTGGTTGGAATACTGCCAGCAGCTGAAAATGCACCACCAGCCAATATTGACTTCTATAAGCTATACGACAATCCAGAGGCTCATATAGGTGTAAGAGACCGGCGCACAACAGTAAGTCTGAAAAATCTAAAGTTTCTGGTGTTTCTTTTATAAACTAAATCTTCAATTAGCGTGAACGTATTTCTGCGCATGGGTATCCAGCGGAGCACCACCACATTGTAGCTGAGGATGGCTACATTGTGGGCGTCTTTCGCATACCTTATTCCCACAAATTGCAGAATCAAAACGAGTATCGGCCAATTGTGCTTATCCAGCACGGTCTGACTAGCTGCTCGGATGCTTGGATACTCAATGGTCCAAATGATGGTCTGCCCTATCTGCTTGCTGATGCGGGCTTCGATGTCTGGCTGGGAAATGGTCGTGGCAATACCTACTCAAGGAACCATACTACACGCTCCACAGAACATCCGTATTTCTGGCGTTTCAGCTGGCACGAGATCGGATACTATGATATTGCAGCCATGATCGATTACGCTCTGGAGGTCAATGGGCAGGGACAGAAGTCCATTCACTACGTGGGCCACTCCCAGGGCACTACTGTATTTTTCACACTGATGTCCTTACGTCCCGAATATAATGAGAAGATCAAAACGGCCCACATGTTTGCTCCCATTGCGATCATGACTAATATGGAAAACAAATTAGTGCGAAAAGTGGGACCCTATCTGGGACATCAGAATAGCTACTCGCTTCTATTTTCTGACCAAGAAATAGTACCATACAACAATATTCTTTTAAGTATGTTCTCCAATTTATGCGAGCCGGATCAGATGCTGAGACCAGTTTGCGAAAACGCGTTGGAAAGGCTTTACTCTGGTGGTCGTGTGAATATGGTGAGTAAAAACAATCTGCCTAATATTTAGCAAATCTTAACCATATTTATTATGCAGAGTGCCATGCCGGAGGGCATGGCTACGCATCCTTCCGGCTGTTCCGCCAACCAAATGCTGCACTATCTGCAGGAGCAGCAGTCAGGACATTTTCGGCAGTACGATCACGGGCCCAAAAAGAATCTGGAAATATATAAATCGGAGCAGCCACCAGATTATCCGGTCGAGAATATAAGCTCTAAGCTACATTTATGGTATTCTGATAATGATAATATGGCTGCGGTGGAGGATGTCTGGGCTCTGGCTGACCGCCTGCCCAATAGGGAACTGCACCGCATGGGGGATCCTATGTGGGATCACGGTGACTTTGCCCTCAACATGGAGGTCCGTAAATATTTAAACGAGCCAGTTATTGAGATAATGAAGAAATTTGAAGAGGCCAATAAAGAAATGTGATTATTTAGATTAAGGTTTATGATTAAGAAAGTTATTTAATCTTTGCTTAAGACTATTTTTAACTAAAGAAAAAAATTGTTCTTATTGATAGCATTGTTTTGTTGTTCATTTTGGTGACCGTAATCTTAGCTGTTCAAAAAAATAAGAACGATTGGCACAGTTCAGGGGGTCTTAGATGAGTTAAAGCTATTAAAATAATTTAATCAATATTATTGTCGGTGCCAGTAAAGATACTAAAAGCTGTTTGTATACCCTTGTAAAGGGCATTCTTATTGTGGCATGTAATTTGTAAAGCATAACTAACTAACCTTGCTAACCTTGTCGTTGTTTTTTGCCTATAAATCTGAAGGGGTTATAGCTTCGAACTGGGAACGAACTAGCAAATCTGGAGGTTTCACAAAGTTTTCTCAAGATAGAACCGCAGGGTTCTTGAAATAGCTAGAGGCAGGCTGTCTGCTCACGTTTGCTACTAATATCTTATTCATGTGAGTTGATGAGACAAACATTGACATCGAGTCGTCCTGCTTGCAATTTCATTTGCTCTTAAGCAATATCAACTGCATAGTTGATATAGCCAAAAATCGTTTTTGTTGGCTTAAGATATCTTGACCAAATATATTATTTACGAGCTTTATATCTCTTTATATCGGACTAGTATATTATATAGCTCTGTCACATGGAATCATGGTGAATTATTTTGGGTTTGGGCTTACGAAAATATATCTATGAATCCGTTGTAAAGATAATGCAGCTGTTAATGATTGATTAGATATCTATCTGTACTTTACTCAAAATAGAATTTAAAATGCTTTACTTGAAGATGTCATGCATACATATGAGATATAACAAAATAATTTTTAACTAAGGGAAGTATTTAGCCTTTTGAGCTCTTTGGATGCACACGTTACAAGCACTTAAAAATTATAAGTTTGCAAAAATGTATTTTCAATTGAACAACTTTCCAAAGGCATTTGAGGACCTAGGCAAGCAAGTTCTGACCACATATTGAAAATTCTAATAAAGTTTGCCTCTATACATATTAAATCATTTGGGGCTCGATGGGCTATTCTGGTCTTCAATTCTCAAAGGGAAAAGCCAACTTTATGTTTTTTCACTTGAATACATGTGTGTTAAAAGCAGCAGCCAAATTCAAATCAAGTCCTGGCGGACATATCTAAAGAATGTGAGTAAACTGAAACTCGCTTGGCCTTGGCCTTAGTCTGTAAGTTCAAGGACGCCAAAAGGGCCAGAAAATGAGCTAAACCAGATTTTGATGTAATTAATAGACTTTAGTGTAAAAGTTAGAAAGTTATTATTTTTGTCCAGCATTTCACCTAATTACATATGATTGAAATTGATTTCTTTTCTAATAGCTCTTACTAAATTAATATTAATTTTATTTTTTATTTCATTGTTTTAAAGTTGAATAGATATTAATTTATAATTCCCCTAACTTGACATGTCAAGACTGCCATAAAATCGGTTGTCGGAAACAAGTGCCATTTATTTAATTGACATTTGGATTTAGGAATATAATAAGTTGAAGTATCCATTTTATTTCGCAGCTGCGACTACAGCTGTAAGGTTTCACAAATTGCACGTAGAGATGCGAGTTCTCTGCAACAATGTCGCCGCTAACAAATTTCAAGAGTTTTTTTTACACAATTTTCCCTTACTTGTAGTTGTTAGCTACAAGTAAATCAAAGTGTACCGGAGCATATTGCAGTTTGGCAGCAGTAAGAGAAGCGTGCAGTCAGCAAGGCGTAGCGAGCAAAAAACACACGGAAGCGTTAAATTGGCTCAAGTGTGCGCAATACAAAAAGAACCCGTTCAAGTGTTTTAAAAGAGTATACAGGACTAACGGGCACCCTGTGCAAACTAGTTGAGTTAGAAGCGTAAGTAGAGATTATCGGACAGATATGAGAGTATTGTATAGTCCCATTTATAAATTCAGTAATAGGACACTAGCACGAATTACCCAGCTTTGCTTGGGTGATACATAAATGTCCAAAATCGTTTAGCAGGTCGTCTTAATTGTGTTACGTAGAAGCTTACAATTGAATTTAAAAAAGGAGTTAAATCTCGGTCGACTGAAATGGTAACAAGTTTAATGCAAGCGATTTTCATCGATTACTTTGGATTGACTACACAGTTGACAAATTCAAAAACTTTCAATGATATCCCTTTTCGTAAATGTTAAGGTACTTTGTATAAAAATAAGAAAAAAAATAAACTGTTGCTAATGGCAAATAGGCATCAGTGACAAAAACAAGACAAGAGAATCAGATTTCCAATAAAATAAAAAAAATACTCTTACTTTATATCTTCTTCAATACAAGAATAAATTCCCGTTGAGGGGCCAAGAGAATGTTGCACGCGCATTTGTTGATGTTCTGGAGGCGTTGATTGTTTTCGGCGCAGGCCATAAAGTCAAACTAGGTGCGACTCCCAGACAAATTAAAAAGCTTAAAACACGACAAAAAAAGTATATGTATATGCATTTTCTATGCACAAAACTCTAAAAACGGGTTCATTTTTTGCTTTCGTTGCTGTTCATTACTTTGCAAGCTGTTTTTGTTTTCCTTTTAATCTCTTTGCTGCTTGCCGCTTTATATATTATACTTTCTTATACTTAAAAATTTCCATTTTTTGTAGCAGTTGGCGTCCTCTTGGTTCCTTTCCAAATACATTTTTGTTTTATTTCATTATGGCTTGGCACCTCCGGTTCGCGTTAGGCTCATTCAAAAAAAAGCAAATAATAACACCATGCAGATTGAAATTTATTTAATTACATTTAATTATAACAGATTGTGTGTCTGTGTTTGTTATCGTATAGGCAGATGACAATCGTATAGTAGCACCTATTCGCTAAAATATTTAAATTGAAATTCCTAACATACTCCAAAATATTCTGCATTTTTTTTTTTTTGCATAACCCTTACTCCCTGTTGCTAAGTCAGTTACATATATTACGCATACGCCTCGCTGCGCACTTGAGGGTTCGCAAATTGAATTCGCACCCGTATTTACATAAGCCTCACACATTCGCGAGTGACTTAGCTTAGTTACAGTTTTGATGTCAAAAATGTTTACCAACTGCTCTGCATTCTGTTTGAAATGAGCAATCAAAAGAACAATTAGTTCTCATAAACGTGTTGTATTTGAACATTTTCAATTTATCAATTGCATCAAGGTCCCATTGCATATTAAATTATAAATTTATATACTTTACATCTAGCATAAATTGACGCACAATCCAAGTGCATTGTGCCTTTATATGGCCATTAATGTGCATTAGTTCATTAGTTGGACTCAATAAAAACCACACTTAATGCAGTGAGACCGATAACAAGGCAACAATTGTACAACAAAGTCTTGCTCATAGTCAAAATAGTTAACCTATTGAAGATTGCACTTGAGTGTTTTTTTATCGCTCTCCGTCTGTATTTGTAGAGGGTATTATAATTTTTGTGAATTGTGTAACGCATGGAAGGAGTCATCTCCGACCCCGTAATGTATATATATTCTTAATCAGTATCAACAGCAGAGTCGATATAGTCATGTCCAACTGTCCGTCTGTCTGTTTCTGTGCAAACTAGTCTCTCAGTTTTAAAGCTATCTTTATAAAACTTTGAAGAATTCCCTTATTTTGTTGCACGCAGTACATATGTCGGAACCAGATGGATTGGATCACTTAATCATATAGCTGCCATGTGAACGATCTGTCGTAGCTCACAAGTCAAGTAGTTTTTCAGCTTTACCTCATTTATATGCAAAATCCTAACAACATCGGACCACTATATCATTCCATAGAAACGATCGGTCTAAAACTAAGTTGTACGAAAAGTTTTTTGTTTTTTAAGACATCTGAACTATAGTCGGCATTACCTATTTTCCCTGTGCTTCGCTAATATGGGCAAAGCACTATAAGCATTATGAAAAGTTTGGGTCTGTAAGGGTATTAGGTCTTCGGCGTAACGAAGATAAGCCTTATTTCTCGTTTTTTTTTTTTTTGGTTACAGCTTCGGGCAGAGGTGTAAGCAAATTGTTATCTATTATTATACATTGTGTATATTTAAAATGCTCAGTTAGCGCTTTACTTTAACTATGTGTTCACAAATTTGGTCACAAATATCACGCATACGCCATGCATGCATAGAATGTCGTTCATGGCCTTTATGAGCGCATAAAACAAATAAATGGGGCCTAACTTTAATCAGATGAATTTGACTAACAAACCCCAAATCTAAAGAAAATTGCAATGTGCCCATGTACACTAACTAACAAATAGCAATTTTTCTATCAATGAATGTGTTAAGTTTATAAAAAACCATAATTTGAATAAACTATATAAAAATGTTTAAACTCTGTAAGGGTTTCACGGTGAGAATATTTCATAGATATCAGTCATACACATGTTTTTTAATGGAATCATAACCAGTAGCATCTTGCCAACAGCCAGTTTAAACCAAACACTCATCTAATTATATACAAATAAAGCACCTGAAACGGAATTATCAACGTGTTATCTAAATGTCAACATAACACCTGACTGACGTGTAAGACGTATGATGATAGGAAAAAAACTGGGATATATTAAAAATGCGGACTTACACTTTTATCTTAGCCCGGCGCCCGTATAATTTAGAAGCTAATGGCAGACAAAGACTTCCATATAACACGTCAGACTACAAGAAAGTGGGGGTGTGTATTTATTTATTCAATATAGACGTACGCCTAATCTGTTATTAAAGTCCATTCCCACACAGACAGGCGCACTTATAAGATTTACATGAAATATGAGATTGTCTGTGATAAGCATTGCTGATCTCAAAACCGTAAAAGATGCTCGGATCGTGTAGGCTTTAAGTTTAGTTTATCGTTGCGACTTGTGAGTGTTACTTGTGTGATCGCTTGATTAATTGTGATTGTTATCCTGATTTGAAAGGATCGGCAGTGCATGTCTTTTAAAGTAAACCAATTAAAAGATAATACAGTTTTGTGTGCTTATTTCCTAAGCCACAGTAAAATAATTTGTTCTATGTGTTGCCTGCGATTTTACTTTCTTATAAAACATGCGATTTGATTTGCTTTAATTTGTAATTAAAAAATATTTGTGGTGAATCTTAGGAATTTACAAGAATCTACTACAACTAAAGAAAAATAATAATAAAAATATTTTCGTCACAACTCACTTAGAATACTGTATAACAAAAGAGGTTTATCTTGTGGCAAGGTTGCAAGTGCTGGTCATTAGGATACACAAGCAAGTGGGAAAAACTTAATGAAAAATCGAAGTGGCCTACAGCCATTGTAGCTCTATCTGTGCGTGTGTATGTGTGCGCCACTAAACTAATACAAAAGTAATCAAAGCTAAGCGCATTTAGGCAAAAAAAAAAAAAGCTACACGGCAGGAAGTCAATAAAAATAAACACATAAAAGCAACTTGCGGTCTACAGAATTATGTCAACGACTATTGAGGAGGAGGGCACGACAATGGCGGCGGCGGAGACTCTTGATACGCCGTCGACTGTGGCCAATGCGTTTGTTCAGACAGTCCAATCCATAATTAGCAGCACAACATCAAAAGCAACAACAACAAGTGCCGCAGCTTTAGCAAGCACCACCACAACTAGCACAGCCGCTCCAGCAACAGGAACAACCACATTATCAACGCCATCATCGTCCAGCATGACGGAGAAGCTCAGCGTGAGCGATTTAAGCAGCGCACTGCAACATTTTGGAATTGTTGATTATTTGGTTTTCATAGCCATGCTGGTGGTCTGTGCCGTAATTGGCTTCTATTTTGGCTTCATCGAGAAGAAGAAGAAAAAGCAAAAGGGCCAAGTGCCCGCCGATGAAAAAGATGGCCCCGGCGCTGCTGGCATCGAGGAGCGGCGCGGCTCGGAAGCATTGGATTACTTGGTGGGTGGACGCAAAATGAAAGTGTTTCCGGTCTCGCTGTCACTGGTGGCTAGGTGAGTTACAGCAATATTAACTGTATGTAAATGCGGGTCGTCGGCTCCTCTGGGGCAACAGGATAGACGAGGCCTATTTAATTGCTTTGACTGGAGCGTGCAGAGCCTAATGGGATTGCCCACTGCATTGGTTGGGTCAAGCAGTTTCTTAATTCTGTCTTAAATTGAATAGTACACGAATACAGACCATTATTTGTGTCTGTCTATGGCACAGATTGCTTTGATATCGTTCCCACAAGCAAGGTACTTTAATTTGTTTGAAGAACAAGTTAAATAATTGGAAAATGACATTTTTACAAGTTGAGTAAAATTCTTTTGGTGCAAATATGAAAAAAATATATAACAATAAAATTTAAATATAAAAAATATATAACATTAAATAATAAATGTATCTTTGTACACTTTCAAATATATTACACATGTCAGCTTAATAATTATTAATGATAGTTAATAATTACTATTGTGTATCTAAGAAGCCACCTTTCACCTATATGAAAACTACCTGAAAAAGAAATCAAATTATGTTTACAATAAATGTTGTATAACATAAAAATATAAAAATAATATATTATATTTACAATTATAACTAAATATATACACTATACTATCTCTCTCCATCAATAACACATTCCATAAGAGAAGAGAAGTCCATGAACAACACACCCGATAAGCGAAGCATAATGCCGTTGGCAATACACTTGCCGAAATTGAAAAGCGTTTGCTATGCATTATATAGATTGGTCTCTGCACATTAAAATGCTTAGCCAATCGAAATTTTTTCAGAAATCAATCAAAAATATGCGCCTAATTTCACTCGATTTGCCATAAGGTGGCCACGACTAACCGTGCGTATGCGTAATCTAAGAAAAATCACATAAAACTGCCAGCCTCTGCCGCGTCTGTTTGTCAGCAATGTTTGTCTGCGCAAACAAAAGAATTTTATTTAAACTTTAAGTAAATTGCCCCAAAGAGAATGGGAACTGAGCGAGAATGTATCCATATACATAATACATAATACAATATAGAGTGTCAGGGTCAAGTTTATTATGGCTGATGATTATGCAGATAATGCTCTTTAATATCACTCTGGGAACTTGCAGAACTTTGTTGATAAATATCTGGCGCATGAATACAATTTAGCAGCTCATTTCGCTCTTAGGCAGGGCACCCAAGAACTAAGCCTGATTGAAGTTGTTTAAACTTACGGCAGCCGCAAACTCAAAAAATTTGTAAAATTACTTTTTTGTTTTGTGGCGACCTTGGTGGTGTCACGCCTTTGGAGCATTATATTTGACACGTTTGGTCAAGCACCTTTCGGCGGCACATAGCCTTTGTCCTGGGCGTATTGTCAGCGCATTAATGACTGGAAAAATAAAATGAATGAAGGACTTCTTCTGTTTCTCCTGTTCCTTATGTCCACATTTGATCATTTGCCTCGCCAACAATTGTTTTGTACGCCTTTTATTGTTATCGTTCATTTTGTTCTGTAGTCGTTTGCCTTCTGCAACAAATTTTGGCGACGTGCTTTGAATTACAATTACACGCCAACTTTTTCTCGCCGATTCGTTTGAGCCGTTCCATTATGCTTTTTTTTTTATTTATATTTTTATTTCATCTCCCTTTCAATTCATTATATTGTAGATTTTGTGCCTGCATCTGCATACTTCAACGCCACTTGTTATCAACTTTTAATGGTATTTTGGCTGCAAAAAACTTTTCTGTTGGCACAGCTAAGGCTTGGGGCAGTGCATATGTTTTGGGGCTGAATTGTATGGTGATTGTTGTTGTGGACATTAATCAGCAGATTGAAATTATGATTATGAAATATATGTCAAAAGATTTGAAAAGTTGCTCGCATGTCGCTGCTCAGACAGGCAATATTGTTGGGAACTTCAACGATTTCCATTTTTTTGGCAACAAGATTAAAGGAAAATAAAATTTTATAATTGAGAATTTAACACCACAATTTAATACAATACTTTATTAATAATTTTTAGATAATTTTAATTAGTTTGTGTTATAAATGTTGCTTATATATTTTAAAATAATTTTTATTAATTATCTTTATATAGTTTTGTTTCGGGCATTTCATTGCTGGGCACCTCAACGGAGATCTATGTTTATGGTACCCAATATGCCTTTATACTCATTACACTGGTCATATCGGGACTTATATCGTGGTATATCTTTTTGCCTGTTTTCTGCAATCTACAATTGACTTCCACTTATGAGGTGAGTTGAACGTTGTCTGGTTTGTGTTTAATCGCGGTCTATTTATTTTTGAATACCCTTGCATAAAGAGTGTTAGAATTATTGAATAATTTCCAAACCCGAATTCCATTAAAAATATATTTTCGTTTGGTTCGATTCAATTAAAATTTGAAAACTGGTTTTTAGATTTATGTTAAATAATTGAATTATAAAACAAATGTCATTTCATATATCATATAGTTTTATAAAACAAATTATTCACAAAATAAGTTTTGCACGCAATTTTAATGGTCTTATGTATAAGAAAAATAAGTTTAAATTGCTATCAGCAATCTGCAAGGGTATGACAACTTCGGAATACTGAAGTCATTTTTGTTATACATTTTTTTGAATACTCTATTTTACATAATATTTGTTTCATACCAAGCCGATAAAAGTATTATCGATTGTCAGAGAGTTTTAATTGTGATTTATGTCGCATGTTAATATGTAAGTAAATATTCTATTTCAACTTGCACTGCAATATTAATAGAATAGTTATTTTTTTAAGAAGCTCGGCATGTCAGAAATTTAAGCTGATTCAGTATATATAACAGATACTGAAATCAAAGGAGAGACTACAAATTTCATTTTTCAAAACAAAGCACAGACCATCGCCAGACAAATATGTGTACAAGTTATTTGCCTGTCATGTAGCAAAATTTCCACGAAAAGTCCGAGCATTGTTTTAGACATTGTTGTTGTTGTGTCATGCGAAATATATGCGTGCGCGTGCCAGCAAATTCTAAATAGGAGTACAAAGAGCTGTTTTCGTGTACAAAATCCAATTGTTGTATTGGACAGCAGACACGAACGTAGTGGTTGCTTATAAGCTTCTGCCATATCGACTACATGGCGTATGCGTAATATTCGATTATGTATGTGCACCATTACCTACATTTACTTGATGTGTGTGCGTGCGCTCTTTTATGTGTTTGTATTTGTGTGCGTTTGCATTGTCGAAATAAAAAGCGGCAATAAAAAAAGAAAACAAAGTCAAAAAATATTTACAGTACTTTGAGCTGCGCTTCAGTAAAACCACTCGTCTCGTTGCCTCGGTGCTATTCACCGTAACCACAGTAAGTTCAAAAAAATTGACCCACCATAAAAAATGATAACCAATTACTATTTAATCTAGTTTATTTGGCTGCCAATAGTCATCTATATGCCAGCGCTGGCTTTTAACCAGGGTAGGTTTCAAATCAGATCGTCCAAAACTTCTACCATTTCTTGATTTGACCCCTTTGCAGTGACTGGCATAAATGTTCATATCATTACGCCTGCGGTGTGCATTGTTTGCATATTTTACACCACTGTGGGTGGTTTGAAGGCTGTTGTCTGGACGGATGTTATTCAAACCATAATTATGGTTGGCGCCGTAATCTTTGTCGTAATTAAGGGCACCAGCGATGTGGGCGGTCTGGGTGTGGTCGTACAGCGTAATCTGGACAGTGGACGCCTAGAGTGGCCCGAGTAGGTGATAGTCAATTAAGTTCAGATTTTCTTATAATGCAAAGCTATTGATAAAAGCTATACGTTGTTCTTAAAAACGTTTGATAATAACAAGCGTGATGCGAATAATTTATTATCTGTACTAGCCCTGTAAAACTTTTGATAAAGTGCTTCATCGTCCTAAACTAGTGTTAAAATATTTTGATGGTTGCGCTCTTCCAATGGGTGTTGACGGTGCTGAAGTCACAATATCCAAAATATCTAGTTGTAGACATAGTTCGAAATGAATATAATCGAAAGTGAGACACAACACAATCTTTTCGATGCATCGATAGTTTAACAGGTACACAATGCGTTGTATGGTACTATCATTTGATTTCATTTTATTATTGCTTCACGGATTAAAACCAATCGACGTGGAACACTATAGCTTACATTTAATTTCAGAATTCTATAATCAATAATAACGATAGTACAATCAATAGTTTTGCACCACTAATACTTGAAACTGTTTTTTATCTAACGACTATTAATATATTCAAATAGATTAACATTCGATCCCAAGGTTCGCATGTCTACATTCGCCTTGTTCGTGGGCTATACAGCACATTCCACATACAATTTAGGTTGTAATCAGATCATAACACAGCGCTATATGTCGCTGCCCAATGTGAAGGCTATGGGGCAAGCGTCGTTACTATTTATTAGCGGTATAGTCCTTTTAACCTCACTTACCCTATACAATGGCGTGCTGCTCTATGCCACCTACCACCACTGCGATCCATTGACTACCAAGGTGGGTGATTTGTATATATACTCTGTATGAGTCGAACCGCAGTTAACGGACTGAATTGCAGCTGGCCAAAGCCAAGGATCAGCTGGTGCCATTGCTTGTCATGGATACGCTGAGCTCATTTCCAGGTGTGTGCGGTATGTTCATAGCTGGCGTGTTTAGCGCAGCGCTTAGCTCATTGTCCACGGCGCTCAATTCCCTGGCCGCCGTCTCTCTCGAGGATTATATCAAGCCGCTTTGCAGGAAGCCCTTAACCGAACGTCAAACGGGCATCACTATGCGCCTCTGCACAGTTATTATTGGCATCGTGAGCGTTGCCTTGGTTTTCGTGGTGGAGCGTATGGGCACACATATGGTTCAGTTGTTCATGATGCTGAGTTCGGTGACACAGGGTCCATCGTTGGCGCTCTTTGTAATGGGCATGCTGTGTCCGCGGCTAAATGCAAAAGTTTGTATTGGATTTGGTTATTGAAAACATTTTTGGATATAAATATATGCTTCTTATTGCTTGCTTTACAGAGCGCTCTATCCGGTGCCCTTTGCTCCTTTATCTTTATGACCTGGCTGTGCACTAATGCCCAGCTGGCTAGCAATTCTGGTGAGATGCAAAATGAAAGCAAGCCCGTTAGCATCGAAGGCTGCGATTACCAGTACGAATTGCCGTTAATGACGCCCAAAAATGCCACTGTGACTGCCACTGACCCGGCGTAAGTAGCAGGCATGAGCATTAACTGAATTAGTTATTACTGACAAATATCTTGCTTTCAAAGTTCGCTTAGCTTTTTCCAGCAAATCTATCATATATCCTTTATGAACTACACACTCTTCGCGGCTATTGTCGGCATTACTTTTGGCCATCTTTCGAGCTTTATATTTGGACGTGTTGCGCTTGAGGATGTGGATGTTGAGCTGCTGGCGCCGTGCATGCGACGTTTTTATAGACGCAAATATGCCAGTGTGGAGACTAATGAGTCCTTAGTAAAGTCTGGCGAATAGAATTTCTACATAATATAGCATGTGCTGACGACTTAAGAGTTGTAATAAAAGTTTCGATTAAGTATACGCCGTGTTTGACTGCAGCTTTGCCAAACGCCAAACCAAACTGTCAATATAATTTTTTTTTTGGTTTTCCATTTTTTTGTTTATTGGACTGTCACTAACATGCGCCATTTATACATTCTTGCTAAATATGTACCTTGTAAATAATTGGAAATTCATTATTTATTAATAAGTATTTATAATTCCTCTAACTTAATTATAATATAATTATATGTAGTACTTTGAGCTGCGCTATGGTGGCAGCATTCGAAACTTCGGCTCAATGCTGTTTATTGTGGGCATGGCAAGTATTTAAATATATCAGATATTACAATAAGCTCTACAATAATAATTATTAAAATGTTATATACAGATGCTTTGGCTACCTGTGGCCCTCTATGTGCCTGCCATCACCTATAATCAAGGTGAGTTTCGTCTTAGTTTCTGGCTATGAAGCTATAGTTAAACGATTGCAGTGACTGGCACGAGCATCCATGTTATTACGCCCATTGTCTGCATAATCTGCACCTTCTACACGTGTGTGGTAAGCTTTGATTAAATTATGACCTGTTTATGTAATAGCTCACATTGAAATTTTCGGTATTTCAGGGCGGCTTAAAGGCAGTCATTTGGACAGATGTCATCCAGAGTTTTGTTATGTATGGTTCAATTTTGGCAGTATGCATAAAGGGCACCTACGATGTGGGCGGCCTGAACGTGGTGTTGCAGCGGAATTGGGAGAGCGGACGTCTCAATGCACCGGAGTAAGTGTTTCGTTTAAATTTATTAGGCAAATTCTATATGACCTTAACTATTTACAGATGGACCTGGGATCCCACCGTTCGCCTCTCAATGCTGTCTGTTATTGTGGGCGGCACTTTGCACAAAATACAATCTTCCGATGTCAACCAAGTGTCAATACAACGGTTTTTATCGCTGCCCAGCTATAAACATGCTAAGCAATCCATGCTTTTATTTACCATACTCCTCATATTCCTATTGAGCTGCTGCAGCTACATGGGCCTGGTGACTTATGCTGTTTACCACGACTGTGATCCCATCAGCACCAAGGTGATCTGAAATCCATCAGCTATTTACTTTCTCTTATGCGTTTTATTCAGCTTGCCAAGGCCAGCGATCAGTTGCCTTCGCTGCTTATGATGCGCACCTTGGGCTCGTGGCCTGGTCTGCCAGGACTCTTTGTAGCTGGCGTGTTTAGCGCCGCCTTGAGCTCGCTTTCCACAGGACTTAATTCAATGGCATGCGTGATCTCACAGGATGTGGTACGTCCGTTGCTTAAGAAGCCCCTAACGGAGCGCCAAACCGCATTTCTGCTGCGCGCCATTGTCGTCTTTTTTGGCACCTGCTGCATGGGCCTGGTCAATGTTGTGGAGAAGCTGGGCATGGTTGTGCAGTTGGCTACCACCACTTCGGCTGTATCTATGGGACCGCTGCTAGGAATTTATGCGATGGGCGTGTGCCTGCCCTGGGTGAATGCTAAAGTTAGCTTCTTTCAATCTGCGACCTTAAAGACCCGCCTAATGGATTGCATTTTTTAGAGTGTTTTAACGGGCAGCTTGGTTTCCTTTGTTGCCTTAGCTTGGATCTGCGTGAAGGCACAGCTAGCGCTAATGAACGGCGAGATTCGGTACCCAAAGATGCCTGTCTCAGTGTCAGGCTGTGAATATTGTTATGATAACGATACTGTCTGGCGCACCCTGCATGAGTACAGGTGGACATAATATGCTAAAAAAAAGGAACACAAAAATATATTTCTTTCTATTTTTATTTGCAGTCCTTCGACAGATCGCAATATATATCATTTGTCATTTTTCTGGTACACAGCCGCAGGCGGCTTTATTTGTACTATGGTTGCCCTTCTGGCCAGTTTAGTGTTTGGCTGGCAGGATGTATCTCAAATGGATCCAGCTTTAATTACTCCCTGCATGCGTCGATTTTTGCCTAAAAAACATTATCAGGTTATAGACTTGGAAGAGATGTTTAGGCGTAAGGCTCAAGCTGATGTCGAGGCAGAGACAGCATGCCTTAATAAGGAAATCAATTAAAAAACAAACTTAAATATTAAAAAATAAATTCCTTTTTTGTTTTTCCTTAGATGTTTTTTATTTTGTAACTGTCCGGCGTTTAATAAGAACTTTTGACATTACATTAGATTCTTCATGACATGACGTTACTTTTTTAATTTTATATATTTGTTTTCTTTGCCGTGCTTACAATGTAGTACTTTGAGAGACGCTTTGATCGACGCATTCGCATCTTTGGATCATGTCTATTTGTGCTTATGAACGTGAGTATTCAAATTGTCTCTTTATTTGTATATTAAGTGTCAATATACATAATTGGCTCTTGTATAGATACTTTGGCAACCCATTTGCATTTATGTGCCTGCACTTACATTGAATCAAGGTGAGTTTTGTGTAATGTAAATAAATATTTAAAATAATACCATAGGTATAAAATGTCTTGCATCTGTGACTAACTTATTTACCTCATGTAGTGAAAGTCGAGCCCTTTCTTTAAATTGTTTTACTTTCTTTTGGTTATTTTTAGTTTCCGGCATCAGTGTTCACACGATCGTTCCACTGACCAGTCTCATATGCATCATTTATACCAGCATTGTAAGTAGAACGATTATTAGCAGTTGTTTCAGAGACTTAATTTAATCCGATGCTTTATTACTTTCATATAGGGTGGCATTAAGGGCGTTGTTTGGACAGATGTTATACAAGGAGCTGTCATGGTTGGAGCCATGGGTTTTGTCATTATAAAAGGCACTCACGATTTGGGTGGTTTGGCTGTTGTTCTAGAACGTAATCGTCAATTTGATCGTTTGGTGGGTCCCGAGTAAGTCATTTATGTATATTTATATATTCATATATGTATATACTTTAAAACCTTTGAAATTGGGTAAAACGCGTATAATGGTTTTGTACAAATGGCAGAAAGCGAAGCATTTACAACCCCATAAAGTATAAATATTCTTGGTCAGCATTAATAATAGTCAATTCCATTTAGCCATGTCCGTCTGCCTGCCTGTCCGCATATTTTAATTTTTTAGCATATTTTCGAGATTTTAAGAGGTAGAGACCTATAATTTGTTATGAAGACTCTCGTATTATATACAAAGGTTCAAAATATTTCATCTCTGAATAGCCGCATTTTCGCATTTTCGGTAATATAGTTTCCGTCTTAAATATTTAAATATATTTGAATGGTCTGAAAATTTCATAAGAATAATAATAATCACCGATGCTAAGCTGTTGCGTAAGCTGCTCGCCGGGCGGCGGTTTTTGTGTATGTATGTAAAAAAGAAATCGATAATGTTTGTAGCGGCAACTCGACCCTGGGTTCCATGTATTTTCAGTAGAACACTTTACACTATTTAAGTCGAACTTGTTAAATATCGCGGTGTCTCCATTAATGCTTGTCTTTAAATTTACAGCATGACATTTGATCCAACGGCTCGGATGGGCGTTTTTGCCTTGTTTGTTGGTGGCGCCTTCTTTAAGCTGCAGGCCAATTGCATAAATCAGACCGCAGTCCAGCGTTTCCTAACCTTGCCCAACTTTAAGGCGGTCAAGCAGGCACTTCTGCTTTCCCTCACAGGCTTTATACTCGTCATGGCCATGTGTATTTATATTGGAATGCTCGCCTTTGCCGCATATTATCATTGTGATCCCATAAGCACGGGCGTGAGTAGCACAATTGCTACTGCATGAAGAAAGATATCTTACTTTTATCTTTCCTTTATTTCCTTCGCAGCTGGCACACGCCAAGGATCAGGTAATACCGTTGTATGTTATGCAAAGTGCTGGCGTCGTGCCTGGAATAGTGGGTCTATTTGTCGCAGGGGTGTTTAGCGCTGCACTTAGCTCTCTTTCCACCGCACTCAACTCCCTCTCAGCGGTGGTGCTCAAGGACTTTGTCGAGCCATATCGCAATCGCCCATTGACTGAGCGGCAGACTGCCTATGTTCTCAGAGGCGTGGTTGTTGTCTTTGGGCTTATCTCAATGGCAAGTGTCCCAATAGTGCAGAAATTGGGCATGCTCATGCAGCTCTCCTCCACCGTGGGTGCAATCACCTGTGGTCCATTGCTTGGCGCATTCTCAGTTGGCATGCTGTTGCCTTTTGTTCGAACAGAGGTTTGATTGGGGTCTTCCTATTTAATTACCTAAGGAATTACGGCTTTTTTCTTTTATTTTTTCAGAGTTTGTTGACTGGTATTTCGGTGGCCACCACTTTCATATCCTACATTGTTGTTCGTGCTCAGATTGCAATGGCTACTGGTCAAATGACCTTTCCCATGAAACCCGTTTCCGTGGAAGATTGTGACTACAGCTTCGAGGTGCATGCTAACTGGAATATCCCCAGCAGCGCGTATGTTATTGCTCCGAGCTCTGCTGCTGAAGAAGACTTTATTAATCTAATAATTTAATACATTTAATATTGAATATCTTTTTTCTTTATATAGGAATACTCACGAGGACAAAAGTCACAGCTTACATGAGATCTCGTTTTTGTGGTACACTTTGATTGGTTCTTTAGGAACGGTTCTCTTTTCGCTGTTGGCTACGCTTTACTTTGGGAAGCAGGATGTACGCCTTGTGGATAAGGAGCTGGTTTCGCCAGTCCTGCACAAGTATTGGTATGGGGAGTATGAGAACGTTGCCAACGATGATGAAGAGAAGAAGTAACTGAAGCTGCACGAATCGTTAACGCAACCGAAATGGGATGAGATAGAGAAAATACATAACTATCTTCAAACTTCCTAGAGGGTATAAGCCCTAATTCTTAATTATCTTGAATACAAAAAATATAATGAATACAACAACAAATTTTGTAGTTTTATGTTAGTCCTAAAATTTGTACTGTCCCATGTTAAATCCTTACTACGTTAACCTAACAACTGACAGCTGGTTCCGTTTAATGCCTAGAGACTTTCAATTACTAGGAATAGCTGGTAAGGCTCAAGCTGAGGTCAAGTAATAGACGGCATATCTTGATCAAGAAGAACTCAAATAAAAAAGAAATCAACTATTCACAAATAAATTCTTGTTTTGTTTTTTCAGGGGGAGTTTTTATTTTGTGACTGTCCGGCATTTAACATGATATTTCATTACATATTCATGATACTACGTTACTTTTTAAATTTTATATATTATTTTTCTTTGCCGTGCTTACAATGCAGTACTTTGAGAAACGTTTTGATCGACGCATACGCATCTTTGGATCATGTCTATTTGTGCTTATGAACGTGAGTATTCAAATTGTCTCTTTATTTGTATATTAAGTGTCAATATACATAATTGGCTCTTGTATAGATACTTTGGCAACCCATTTGCATTTATGTGCCTGCACTTACATTGAATCAAGGTGAGTTTTGTGTAATGTAAATAAATATTTAAAATAATACCATAGGTATAAAATGTCTTGCATCTGTGACTAACTTATTTACCTCATGTAGTGAAAGTCGAGCCCTTTCTTTAAATTGTTTTACTTTCTTTTGGTTATTTTTAGTTTCCGGCATCAGTGTTCACACGATCGTTCCACTGACCAGTCTCATATGCATCATTTATACCAGCATTGTAAGTAGAACGATTATTAGCAGTTGTTTCAGAGACTTAATTTAATCCGATGCTTTATTACTTTCATATAGGGTGGCATTAAGGGCGTTGTTTGGACAGATGTTATACAAGGAGCTGTCATGGTCGGTGCCTTAGGTTTTGTAATTATAAAAGGCACTCACGATTTGGGTGGTTTGGCTGTTGTTCTAGAACGTAATCGTCAATTTGATCGTTTGGTGGCCCCCGAGTAAGTATATTTTAACTACATTAGAATCTCTCTTTTAAGTTTGTATTTAAATTCCAGCATGACATTTGACCCAACGGTTCGCATGAGCGTTTTTGCCTTGTTTGTTGGTGGCACCTTCTTTAAGCTGCAAGCCAATAGCATAAATCAGGCCGCAGTCCAGCGTTTTCTGACCTTGCCCAACTTGAAGGCGGTCAAGCAGGCACTTTTGATATCCCTTATAGGCTTTTTACTTGTCATGGCCATGTGTATTTATATTGGAATGCTCGCCTTTGCCGCATATTATCATTGTGATCCCATAACCACGGGCGTGAGTAGGACAATCGGTGACGCAAGATAAAATGTATATTACTTTTATTTCCTTCGCAGCTGGCACGCGCCAAGGATCAGGTGATACCGTTGTATGTTATGCAAAGTGCTGGCGTAGTTCCCGGAATCGTTGGTCTGTTTGTCGCAGGTGTGTTTAGTGCTGCACTTAGCTCACTATCCACGGAACTCAATTGTCTCTCAGCGGTAGTGCTCAAGGACTTTGTCGAGCCATATCGCAATCGCCCATTGACTGAGCGGCAGACTGCCTATGTTCTCAGAGGCGTGGTTGTTGTCTTTGGGCTTATCTCAATGGCAAGTGTCCCAATAGTGCAGAAATTGGGCATGCTCATGCAGCTCTCCTCCACCGTGGGTGCAATCACCTGTGGTCCATTGCTTGGCGCATTCTCAGTTGGCATGCTGTTGCCATTTGTTCGAACAGAGGTTTGATTTGAATGAATGACCTAAGCAACTACGCATGAGCATCTTTCCTATTGCAGAGCTTGCTAACCGGCATTTCGATAGCCACCACCTTTACATGCTACATTGTTGTGCGTGCCCAGATTGCCATAGCCACCGGCCAAATGAACTTTCACATGAAACCTGTTTCCGTGGAGGATTGTGACTACAGCTTCAAGGTGTACACCAACTGGAATACCCCCAGCAGCGCGTATGTTATTGCCCCGCGTTATAGCGCTTAAGAAGACCTCCATTTAATATGTGACTTCTTTATATAGGAATACTCACGATGACAAAAGTCACAGCTTACATGAGATCTCGTTTTTGTGGTACACTTTGATTGGTTCTTTAGGAACGGTTCGCTGTTCGCTGTTGGCTACGCTTTACTTTGGAAAGCAGGATGTACGCCTTGTGGACAAGGAGCTGGTTTCGCCAGTCCTGCACAAGTATTGGTATGGGGAGTATGAGAGCGTTTCCAGCGATGATGAAGGGCAAAATCAATTGAAGCTGCACGAATCGTTAACGCAACCGAAATTGGATGAGATGGATCAAATTCCTAAACGTAATCAAGCTTCCTAAAGAATTTCTAACCTTGTTGATCAATAAATATCATAATTACAAACGCAGTCCTTGAAGTTTTATATTAGTTTTAAGACTTGTACTGTTCCATATTTTAATCCTGACACCGTTAACCTAATAACTTACAGCTGGTTCCGTTAAATGCCCAGAGTATTTTCTTGAGGTTGTCAATACACAAATTTTCCACCTGGTCAATACAAAAATACTTACACACACTCACTCTTTCAGTACTTTGAGAGACGTTTCAGCCGACGCATGCGTGTATTTGGGGCCTCACTCTTTGTGCTCAAGGCGGTAAGTGAGAGCCTCTTAAAAATGTCTAACTAAGGATTACCTTAGGACTTTTCCCTTTTCAGATAATTTGGCTGCCCATTGCGGTGTACGTGCCCGCGCTAACCTTCAATCAAGTCAGTGGCATTGGAGTGCATACCATAACACCAATTGTGATCGCCATTTGCACCTTCTATACCACTGTCGGAGGCATTAAAGGCGTCGTCTGGACGGATGTGGTACAAAGTGTTATTATGTATGGCTCACTGGTGATCATTATGATCAAGGGTACCCTGGATCTCGGCGGGCTAGGTGTAGTCTGGCAGCGTAATTTGGAGGGCGGTCGGCTCAATGTGCCTGAGTGAGTAGTCTTAAAACTGGGTTAAAGTCTTAAGTCAATTGCCAGCTGTGCGTATTTATTCCGAAGCTGGAGTCTGGACCCAACAGTGCGCATGAGCGTCTTTTCGGTGTTTGTAGGCGGTACTTTCTTCAAGCTGCAGAACACCTCGATCAATCAAGCCACCATACAGCGTTTTATGAGCTTACCCTCTTTAAAGCATATCCAGCAAACACTCTTCACCTTTAGCATTGGGTTGATTCTACTCTATATGAGCTGTGTCTATGTGGGTCTGGTGTGCTATGCCACGTATTATGATTGCGATCCAATGACCACGGGAGTGAGTATAATATCTTCTTGAATGCTAAAAGATTTTTGCTATTTTTCATCTTTTTGTACAGCTGGCTGGACGTCGGGATCAGCTGGTGCCGCTGATGGTTATGCGCGTGCTTGGCGTTGTGCCTGGACTGCCGGGTATGTTCGTCTCCGCCGTATTCAGCGCTGCTCTAAGCTCGCTCTCAACGCTGCTCAACTCTTTGGCGGCCGTCATACTGGAGGACTTCGTTAAGCCACGTATGCGCACTAAGCCCATGACTGAGCGCACAGTAGCATTGATAATGCGTCTGGTGGTGATTGTATTTGGCATTAGTTCTATATTTATGGTCTATGTGGTTGAGCATCTGGGCATGGTGCTGCAGCTGTCGGCCACACTACAGTCCAGCTTATACGGTCCCATGCTAGGCATCTTTACCGTGGGCATGTTAATGCCCTGGGTGGGCGAGAAGGTGGTTCCTCTTTCATTAACATGCCTCGATTATTTATATATTAACGTTTTTCATATTTTTTTAGAGCATGTTTTTAAGCAGCGTTCTATCATTTGCTATTATGGCTTGGATAACGGTCAATGCACAAATTGCAAATGTGAGCGGCTCATTTCGTCATACCAAGCTGCCAGTTTCTGTGGAGCATTGTGACTATGAGTTTGATATGAATCGCTATCTAAACTCAACAGCGGAATAGTAAGTAGCGAACCAAAAATATTTTCCTTGATAGTCATATTTTTTTTTTACAGTGAACCACACAGCGGCTCATCTATATACCATATTTCTTTCTTATTGTACACGTTGACTGGCGCTTCCTTAAATATTGTTCTTTCAAACTTAGCTACGTTTATCTTTGGGCGTCAGGATATTAATTCTGTGGACACGCAGCTCTTAGCTCCGTTTGTTCAACGGCTTATGCTCAAAAATAGTTATTATGAGACCGTAGAGCTGAAGAAAAGATCAGTAATCGGTGAGCGCTTGGATTAGAGCTCAGACAGTTCCAATTTGGGTGAAATAAGTTCCGTAGTTTCACAGTCTTCATTGCCGTATTCAGAAGCTAATTATTTTTAAAGCTTATACTTTTCCTTTGCCAACACGTTTTGTCTCAGCTTCCGGGATTTTGATATTTCTGAGCTAAGAACCTACTTTTATAATTCACTTTGTGAATAGATAATAATAGTCAATGCCTTAAAGTAATAATGCCACCCTTTGTTTTTCATGTTATTCCACATACTATAATTTTACTTTTTAGCAAATTTTCATTAAAATTCTTGAGAATTTTGAATAATTCGGTTTAATAATGTAAAAACTTGTACGACAATAAATTTGTGTAATATGTATAATTTTGCGGGAATTAAAAACAAATTAGGCATAATGTCAACCAGCTATAGATGCCAATTGTGTGCATGGAAACATCAATCTTCTCCAGTTCTATAGAACACAATTGGCAGCTACAGTACGTTGGGTGCATGCTTAAATCTGAGTTTAACATTGGCTTATCTGTGGGATCTTATATCATCCAAACTTTGCAACGTCTTGCTTAAGCTACGTAACTTTCGTCTTGGACTAACCGGTTGTCCCTGTGTCGTCATGGGTGATGGGAAAAGACAGCGGCATTTCCGATTAGATCCGATAGCTCCCGACTGTGCTTGGCTGCCAAGTCGCCCAGTGCCCAACTGAGTCCACGGAGTGGGCGTAGGTGAACGCTGGGTGTGGTGGCCACTGCACTTGTTGTTGGGACTTCTTGAAGTTGGGAACAAAGAGGAGCGATGCAAATCAGGCATGCTTACAGTAGATATTCCCTTGGCCGTACGACGTACGATTGTTGGTTTGGCGGATGCCGAATTTGCAGATCTCGACTTGTGGTGATTGCAACTCTTGCAGGCTGACTGCTGCGGAAAACTGCGGGAATCTTGCTGCTGCCAGAGCTGATGCTGCGGTCTTTGTTGCGACGTACCCTCCGATACTTTTTGCGGCTGAGAGTCTGGTCTCCTATTATAGGTTTCCATTAAGCGCTGTGCACGATCCGAGCTGGCACTACTTTTTTCTTCAAACCGGTCTTCCCGCTCCTCTCGCTCCTCTTTGCAATGCTGTTTTGACCGCCGCTGGTGGCTCAGTGCCCGATAGAAAATCGTCTGATTGTCGATGAGCATCTGGGCAACGAACTTAAACTGATTGAGACTTGTCTCATTTTGTTCGCCAATTTCTGAGGTTCGGTTTTCGAATAGAAATCTTTATATATAGAATAATTTATTTCACTTACTGCCCATCAAATCAGCATTGAGTTGCTTCAAGAAAGCCTCCTGATGCGTGATGTCCGCGGATAGCTGATCCATCCTGGTAAGGATCTCCTCAAAGTGCTTATTTACCATGTGCTCGACGGCGCCATGCACTGCCTCCAAGACATTCTCGTAGATTATGTTGAAAAAGTCCGTGCAGGACTCTTGCATTACACGATTAGAATCAGAGGCACTGGATGGCATGTCACTTGAAGGAGAGGGTTCCTGTTGCTGTTGTAGTTTTTGCTGCTTCTGATGGTATTCCCGTTCAGCTGACTCCATGCCTGCACTTTCCCTTAGTGGCATAGTCGCCTCCCTGTATCGGTGCTTCTCAATCGGAGGCAGGCGAAACTCCACAGTGCGTGCGGGCGTTCGTGACCGAGATTTCAGGCCGTGTGAATGACGCAATCTCTCATTGTGCTCCTGGAGAGCCTGCAGAGAAATAAGATCATCACAGCACAGTTTTGTGCCTTGCCGCGACGACCGTGTCCGGGAGCGTGAATGGGACTGGGGCTCAGGACGATTAGATTGTTGGGAGCTGCTGTTATAGCTACTTTTTGGCATGTACAATAAATCATAGCCGAAATCATTGGGAGGCTTTCGAAAGCAATAATTGGGAAACATAGTTTTGGAGATGAAAGTTCAAGCTGCATAAAAATTTAAGAGACAGGTTCTAAAAATAAGGTGCTGTACTTTGATTTTGACTGTGACACAAGCGTCTTATGTGGGTGTATTTGGGTTCAATTGTACTACTTTTACAATTTCGAATTTATTTTAGAGCCTGCTTATGAGAATTGGATGATTTTGAAGGAAAATCCAAAATTTGTCATTGAAAGCGTATTTATTAAAGGTGTTCAATTGATAAGAAATTGCACTAAGCATAACGATATTTTTGACAGAACACAGCTTGCAAATGTACTAGAAAGTAGCTTCTTGTCAATTTTAGAGACAAATAGAAGGGGACGCATATCTTTATGCTGGAGAATGCACCTATTCACAGAATTTGGCAAACGTGGGCGTTCTGGGTAATGAGCTCCTTTGCCTTAATCGTCCGACCTAAAATCAATTGAAAGCGTTCTTGGCGTTTTGGCTGGATATGTTTTAGTTGAAAAACGACAGCGTGTCCTACCATTTCTGTTGAATATCTGGATTTAATTTAGATCCTTATATAAATCCCAAGATAAACCTTTTCAAAATCCCAAGCGTTTTGAGACGCTTTATATAATGCAAGTGTGAGTATTCTAACTGAAACTAACGTAAAACATTATGGCAATGGACTCTGCTGGTTGGTATATGTTTTTATACCCTTGCAGAGGGTATTATAATTTTGCCATAAAATGTGTAACGCATAGAAGGAGACATCTCCGACCCCATAAAGTATATATATATTTTTGTTCAGTACCAACAGCGGAGTCGATGTAGCCATTTCCGTCTGTCCGCCTATCAATTTCTATGGGAACTAGCCCCTCAGTTTTAAGGCTATCTTTATGAAACTGTTGCACGCAGCACATATGTCAAAACCAGCTATATGATACATACAAGGCATTGTATGGTTAGTGCTAATGCGGATACATATACTTATGTAGTTTCCAAACACAAAAAGTTACTTACCTCTTTAATTTACAGCGTGTCAACTTTTATGTTTTTAATATATTCTGTCGCAAATAAATGCATTAGCTTCCTGTAAGCACCGACGAGTGAATGTGTAAAAAATATATTAGTTTCGAGTGGTACTCAACAAAGTACTCAGTATATGTGCACGAGGTGGCTTCCATTTTGCAATCGTAGAAACGAGATTAAATTATTATCTCTAACAAAAGCGTATTTTTCCTTTTTGTCAAAGACTTTAATTTATTCAGTTTGCCAACACTTAAAGTTTCTTTTTGTGTCTCAAATAGTCTTAATATAAGACATAAAGTTTGAGTTTCTTTTTTTTTGTTATCGTGCCAGTTGACTGTCCTTCTAATGGAATTTCAATTAAAAGTTGACAAGTAAATTATAAAAGTATAATTGCAAATATTTACGGCCAGTCGCACTCGGTGATTTCTAATGAAGCGTATTGAAGTACAAATGAATATAAAAAAACAAGCGACTTTGTGGCTGATTATGTTATCAGCATTTATTAATAGTTTCCATGAGCTTAGCTGTTCAGTCAGGCAGGAAGTAAGAGTTTCGTCCGCATTGAATCAGTCCTATATAGCGATAACATATTATGTGGCTATAATATACCGAACGTAAAATAATCTTTTTGCTATTTACAAAACCAAAGAACAATATTGAAATACGATTTCACATTTTATTCAGGCACTGTTGGCCATGGATGTTAAAAGCCGCAAACAATACAACAATTTTAAATGAAGTGAGATTGAAAATGAGCTGTCCCGGCTTGTCCTCTGCTGCACAGACAAATTCGCCGTTGGTCCTTGCTGTTTCATCCTTGGGCCCATTGTGCGCTGTAGCATAGAGACCTAAGAATGAAATTTATGGCGAATGCCAAAATGCATTAAAATAAAAGCCACAGATAAATATTTTTTTTTAATGTTGGCCTTTATTCCTTGCGCTCTCTTACTTGATACATATAATTATGAAATAAATATTAGCTTAGACCAAATTGACTAAAACATTATGCTCTATTAATTCTTATGATTTCGTTAATTGTATATAGATTTTGGTTTTTGATGCTTGGACAAGTTCTGCACACTTAGATTCTACCAAATATGTAAGTATTTACAGCAGAAGATTGGTATATATGTAATTGGCATAATAGAGATACGATTATATAGGGAGTATATATATATGTATATTGTAAATACCTAATGCTAACAACAAGTTGGGCATAAAAGAAATGCAATTATTTGAATTTCGTGTAAATAAATAACATCAGTCTGGTAAATAGAATACGAGTAGGAGTGTTTCTAAAATAACATCACTTGGTATTAGGCTAAAATGCAAAAATATTTAAGACAAATAAGGAAACAAATCGATGCCCAATGCATTGTGAAGTTAAGTTCTTATTCTGTTGAATAAGTTTTGTTTACAAGTAGTTACGAGCTAATTGCATAAATACTTAGAATAAATTGCAATGGGAAATACATGCATTGAAATTCGTAGCACACCTAAACACACGCACATTATGCATATATGTATATACATATATATATATATATATATATATATATATATATATATATATGGGCATTCGCTATGCACACACAACTATTGCACTTATTGTCTAAGCTTCGTAGCCTGCAGTGGGCGCTGGCAATTTACTTATAGAAACTCCGCATCGCTGAAGGACGTCGGCCCATGGACCGCAAACGTTGAACGCTTGCGGGTTGAATGCGCCAGCTATCATACCTCTGACATAGCCGGCACGGTAATAACCTTGTTAGGCCGCTCGCAGATGACGACCCGGGCGTTCGTCTTATTGGTGGAGCGTCTTGAAACCGTCAGAGAGGTAGTTAGAGTGCGCATGGAATCGCAGCTATTGTGCAGACGACGACCAACTGTGTGGCAGCGGTTCTGCTGCGAGTTGTTGCGATAGGATTTGCAGCAGCAGGTCAACCACTTGAAGGGCGGGAAACGACTAAAGTAGGGGTATGGTTAGTGGTATGGTTGATAGTCTCGAATCCGTTGCCTACCTGAGCGTGCGAAACACTTGTGAGGAGAACAAGCAGTATATTAGAGGATTCGCCGCCGAGTTGAGTGGTGCCAGGCTCTGTATAAATGTGGCTATGGCAATGTTTGTCTGTGAGTGCGGTATCTGGCCAAAGACTTGTAGCAGATCGAATATAATGTATGGCGACCAGCATAGAATAAACACAAATACAATCGTTAGCGTCATCTTCACGGTCTTGACCTTGGCGCGTGGTATGATGCCCCTCGAGCTGGCGCGTCTTGTTGCAGCACCACCGAATCCTACACGTTCTAGGCAAAGTAATACATGAGCAAGAGCTGCTATTGGGTAGATTATATAGGCATAGTCCACCTACCTGTGGGCACAAATATGGAGCCCTTAGCCCATATGGTCTTCACAATAATAGCATAGCAGGCGGATATTATCAATGCGGGGACCGCAAACAATGCGGCCGAGACGAGACACATATAAATCTGCCAGGCCATTGGCGAGCCCAGCTCAATCCAGCACTGCGGATGGCCCTGTATGAGTTTCTCCTCGTACAGCACCAGTATAGGTAGCGAAAAGAGAGCGGAGAGCAGCCAAGCGCCAGCCACCAAATGGCGAGCGCGTTTCCCTGCATGGAGACAAACACACGCAAACATTTAGCTTGTTACGTAAAGTGCCAAACATTTTCCAATTAAAAAAGTTTACGAGCGTGGACTTACACGACTTTGAGAAGTTCATTGGGTGCGTTATTGCATCGTATCTGTCAATGCTCATGGCCACCAGCACATAGGTGGAGGAGTATGTGACGCACACCTGAGAGAAGCGTATGACCTTACAGGCCACGTTTCCGGCCCGCCACGAGATTGTGATGCGCCAAATAATATCCGTCAGCACATTGAGCAGTCCCACACACAGATCTATCAAAAGTAAACATTTATACGCACTTTTGACCCTCTATGCCGCCAAACTCCTCACTTACCTGCGAGCGCCAGCTGCTTAATGAAATAGTTCATACGCGACTTGCGATTCTTGTTGATGAACATAACAAATAGAACCGCCGAATTGCCCAGCACAATGATGGTAAAAAGTATCCAGAGTACAGCAAATTGTTCCGTCTGTCGGTGCGAGATAAAAGAAGAAGTGAGAAAATAAATGTTAGAAAGATATCATTTTTAGTTTTAAAACATTTCACTAACCGACCGTAAAGTACATTGTCAACAAAGTGTTAAGAGGGGAAATCACGCATAAAACTCAATTTAATATCATAGCAATTCCACACACACACACACACACACACAACCACACGAACATACAGACTAACATAAAACCACACACGCGCCTTTGTTTATGGCTCTTTAAATAGCCATAAAAATGATAGACACTAACTGAGGCGTGACGCAGTGCGCAGTGCGATGCGAGCCGAGGCCGAGTCAGGGCCAACGTAGGCGTCTGGGCCTCAGCGGCAGGATGTGCCAGCGGAAGTTTACTCTCTGAGCCAACAAGACACGTCAACAACAACATCAAAAACCAAGAGCAATCCACATTGCCCGTGGTAACGATAGAAGGCAAACACCAAGAGTTGTTGCTATCAATTGGTTGTATATGGTGCTGCGCTCTAGTGTACGGTTTTCGACGAGGTAATTAGGTTTGCCGTGTGCTTCTAGCTAAAAATTTGCAGAAGAAGCCAAGTGCCAGATGTGCCTGAATTAGGCCCAGAAATACGGCAAGCCAATTCAACTTGATCTAATAAAAGAGGACTTTGTTATGATAGAGGGTTGCCAACGTAACAAAGTAAACAGCATTTTTCTTTAAGTTCGCATGCAAGTTAACAATTAAAAACCAAAAATTAAAATCCCTTCAAAGCTTTAAGCTCTGTTTTAACCCAAGTTAACATGCGTCTGAAATATATATATATAAGCTCTTCTGGGCTCTCTCATGATATTTTGTGTTGAATTTGTCTTGCAATTCTTACCAGGTACATTGTAAATATGTGACTTGAAATTGGACTTTCAACGCCAAAACAATACTGAATGCAATTTACAGTTGATTAAATGTTTTTTAACTAAGAAATCTGCCTCAACTTGGTCTTATGCCTAACCAAAATATTGGTTAACATTAAATGTTAAAGTAAGCAATTGAAGACAAATTGATTCTCTTACGTAGTTCTTGTTTTTCTAGCTTCTTAATACCCATGTAACGCTGCACAAAATGTCTATAGCAGATAACCCTATATCAAGATAGTTAATTTGTATTGTGACTTCAGACTGGCAAGCAGCACGCACTAAATGAGAGCTTGCCACCAGCAACTTGACAGTCTTGACAGTTGGTTTTTACTGCCTGCTAGCAGACTGAAGGCGCCTGAGTTTGTGCCACAAGTTTTTGCTGCAAATGTTATTGTTCCTTGACTTTTTTTGTCCGGCCGCCGTGTAAAATATATATATTTGGGCAACCGTTTGGCTCACCGAGATTCTAAGACAGGCAACGAGTCGCCTTTTGCCTGGCTGGCAGTTGATCATGTTGCGCAAATTGCCGAATAAATCAGCCAAAACGTAAAATGAGCAGACACGGCCAGACAGCTCTGCTATTTTAGCTCATTTTTTTCTTTATATTTACGATATTTATAAAGGTATATTTATGTGCTGCCTGCTATTTTTTCATAAGTTGACCGGCTAGTGTTTATTTTTAAATGTGGCCAACATTTCTTTAAAGCAAAGCTTTAAATCTATCTTACAATTTGGGGCCTTTGGCTTTCAAACCACTGAAGCAAGTGCTCTAGCCAAGTGGTTTGAGTATCCTTCCGTTTTCTTTTCAGTTTAGCGTCAATGACTGGACCATTTTTTAAAGCCTTTGGCTTTGTATCACGAAGTATTTGCGCCTTTTGCTGCAAGTTTTCTTGGATGACTTTGACAATTTTTATACTTAAGCCGCGGCACAAAATAAAAAGAAAACTCAGGAAAAAATTTGTTTGGAACTTTGGCCGTTTGACGTTCATTCAGCGCTTGTGCTTTTTATTTTTTGGGAATTTTTTCACCATTTTATTTACATTTTTTTTTGTGCTGACGACTTTTGGCGAAATATTTTTGAAGTGTTAAGAGCTTCGGGATTTTGCGGCGAGTTTGTAAATATAAACATATATATACATATAATAAATATACACGTATTCTAGAATATTCTTTCTTCTTAATTTCGCTAGGTAGAAAAGTAAATACTTTCCAAATGTAAGACCAGTTCGGACTATCTTTTATAAATAAAGAAAATGATTGTTCGTAAAGTAGATAATCGGTCTGTATAAATCATTATGTTTTGCATTAAATAGTCAATAGAAAATAAATATAGACCTTTTCAAAGTATAATTTCCTTTGAAATTTATGCTGGAATGTTTTTCCGGAACTTATTTGTAAAATTATATTTAAGTAATATTTCACTCAAGCTTTTTTTTTGTGTGCCATAATAAATGTAATAAATGGCACGTTGTAAGCCTTTTTTAATGATCAGCCATTTCTGGTTGTATGTGTTTGTGTGTATTGCCCTTTTTATTTGTTTATTTTTTTTTTGTATTTTTTGCTTTTGCCTTTTTTGGCAGCAAGTCATTATGCCTTTTTCAATTTCGTTTTGCACCTTAAGGAAATTACCCTTTTGTTGGCAGCAATAAAAGTGCGAAATTTAATTTAAAGCCAAAGGAGTTTAGGAAGTAGCCCAAAGGCGAACTGCTAAACAGGCGGCTGATAAGACCACACCAACGTCCGCTAGGGCAACCGTAAGTCCTTATTAAAAGGCAATTTCGGCAAAAGGGTAATGGAGCAAGTTGCAAGCTGCAATGCTAAGAAAAGGGGCCACCTGTTGCACAACTTTGTCTGGCGCCGCAACTACTATTATGTCTGACTATTAAGTGTGCCAGCAATAACAAAGGACTCACTTGAGCCCGCGGCTGTGGTGGCATTGTGGCGTTCTTAAGTGCCGCATAGGAGAGTAAAATGGTGGCAGTCACTTGTTTAAGGCTTTCAGTGGTGTGACTTTAAGTGCGCTTTATGCGGCTTTTCGCTGCGGCTTTGAGCTTAAAGTAACCCTGACAAATTTTAGCAGCTGCATATCTCCAAGTGCAGTAGCAAGACAAATGTGTGGCCACAAAACACTCGAAATGGTAAGTTAATTTCATTTTACTGCAATACAATTACAACAATAAAAGGCAAAATTCTGAAACTGCTGCAGCAGCTGCAGCTGCTGTGCTTATAAATCAGCAGCTGTAGCCAAGTCCACAAGGATTGCGAATAGCGTTGAAACGGAATATTTGCAGTGGGCACACAAGTGGTTAAGCGAGGTTGTGGCATATGCTCTGCAACGCAGCTGAGCGGACGAATTTACGTTTATTTTTTAATGCGTTTTTAAAATGTCACTTACATTGTTGGTTAAAGATAATCAACTTTCCAAAAACTCACTTCAATTATAGTTTTCTTAAAATCATATATCACAATTAATATGCAAAGTTTTATAAATTCCAAGTATTTTTTATAACAATGCTTGCTTGAAATTCAAGAGAATTAAAATATTTTTGGTAAATTAATTAATTAAAAGCAAAGATGTTGTTTAAGCTATTATTATAATGCGCAATTTTTAATAAAATGTTTTTTTTTAATGACAAGTAATAGTTGATTTACAGTACAATTTTAAATATAATTTGTAAATTTTCTTACTTGAAAGTTATATGCTTAAAGTCAGTCTTAAATTACGCTAAGAAGAGTGTTCAGCAATTTTCACCATTATTTAATTAATAAGTTTCCAACTTCTTTTTTCACAGAGCTTTTACAAAATATTTCTGACTTCTTCATTGATATCTATGAGGATCTACTTCAACTTTTACAACTAATTTCCCTCTACTTTGGCCCGTCCGTTTTGTGTGTTTACTTTTATTGCACTTTTCATTAATACCGATTACATTGTGCTCGAGAGCAAAGTGCTGAAAGCGGGGAAAACGTAACATAAAGTGAAATTAAATGGAATATTACGTATACGCAGCTTGCTGAGCTAGCGAGAATGGTCAGATAATAAGCAAAATGATGTCGCAAAATGGCAGCTTCTTGGCTTTCAGCAAAGTTCAATGAACTCAACGCGTGTTTGGTGTAGAATGCTAGCTAATATTTAAGCAACCGCATATTGTCTGCGTACACACATCTCCACATATATACACACACTTTGTGACAAATACGAGATGCGATAGAAATGGCAGCGTATCTGTTAAGTAGGTATAAAAACATGCATTTGGGTCAAGCCGTGCGCATCAATCATTGTTTTAATGGTTGTTATTCGGACAGCAATGGCCAGTCGTTGAGTTTTATGAACTACGCTTCAACCAAATCCACAAAGCCAGCCCTAGGACTGTATTTGTCGACTGGCTCGGGGGCTGCTGGTGGCTGGCCACATGACTGATGTTAGAAACAGCACCCGAAAAAGTGCGCTTTAATTCGCCTAATGGCGAACATTTTGTCATCAGCTGGCTTAAATCATTTTGCTTGGCTCACTGGCTGCGCATATTTGGCGTTGATGTTGACACAAATTGAAATTAATAAAGCGGACCCCTCCCCCCATTTTCCACGAACATTAGCTGTGGGTGCGAGCGAGATACGAGCTGTGCTTGCTTGTTTGTTTTGTTGTATTTGTTTTCTTGACAAACTGTTGAGCGGCACTTTTGACAGCTGAGTGCGTAACCGGCACGACCGAGCAAATGACTAGAGAGGGTGGAGCCGTTAGAGAAATGTTAAAAATGACCACAATTTTGGCTAACATAATTTTGGTTAGTTTGCTGGTCGCAGATGCTGCGGCTGCTGTGCCGGTTGGCTCTATGGGCTTGTGGCCAATGATAAAGCCAAAGAAGGCCAAATGCCGACAAAATAGCATATTAGCCCGTAGGGCTGGTTTGTGAACTATTGACTTATAAAATGCTGCAGAAATCGGATTATGTGCTGTCAATGTTGGGAAAAACTTCTTAAATGTGCAAAATTAATTAATTAATTAAAAGAAATATATAACAAAAAATTGTATGTCAAGCCATAGTTGCATGTTTTGCGCCAAGCCGGATTTGCATTTTTATCTAGATTTAAACCTAAATCTAAGCCTCAAA